AATGGAGAGGGGGGAAGTCAGAGGGAAACAACAGAGAGGCGGGGAGGCGGGGTTAATGGAGAGGGGGGGAAGTCAGAGGGAAACAACAGAGAGGCGGGGTGGCGGGGTTAATGGAGAGGGGGGAAGCCAGAGGGAAACAACGCAGCGGCGGGGAGGCGGGGTTAATGGAGAGGGGGGAAGTCAGAGGGAAACAACAGAGAGGCGGGGTGGCGGGGTTAATGGAGAGGGGGAAGCCAGAGGGAAACAACAGAGCGGCGGGGAGGCGGGTTAATGGAGAGGGGGGAAGTCAGAGGGAAACAACAGAGCGGTGGGGAGGCGGGGTTAATGGAGAGGGGGGAAGTCAGAGGGAACACGAGCGGTGGGGAGGCGGGGTTAATGGAGAGGGGGGAAGTCAGAGGGAAACAACAGAGCGGTGGGGAGGCGGGGTTAATGGAGAGGGGGGAAGTCAGAGGGAACAACAGAGCGGTGGGGAGGCGGGGTTAATGGAGAGGGGGGAAGTCAGAGGAACAACAGAGCGGTGGGGAGGCGGGGTTAATGGAGAGGGGGAAGTCAGAGGGAAACAACAGAGCGGTGGGGAGGCGGGGTTAATGGAGAGGGGGAAGTCAGAGGGAAACAACAGAGCGGTGGGGAGGCGGGGTTAATGGAGAGGGGGGAAGTCAGAGGGAAACAACAGAGAGGCGGGGTGGCGGGGTTAATGGAGAGGGGGAAGCCAGAGGGAAACAACAGAGCGGTGGGGAGGCGGGGTTAATGGAGAGGGGGAAGTCAGAGGGAAACAACAGAGCGGTGGGGAGGCGGGGTTAATGGAGAGGGGGGAAGTCAGAGGGAACAACAGAGCGGTGGGGAGGCGGGGTTAATGGAGAGGGGGGAAGTCAGAGGGAAACAACAGAGCGGTGGGGAGGCGGGGTTAATGGAGAGGGGGAAGTCAGAGGGAAACAACAGAGCGGTGGGGAGGCGGGGTTAATGGAGAGGGGGGAAGTCAGAGGGAAACAACAGAGCGGTGGGGAGGCGGGGTTAATGGAGAGGGGGAAAGTCAGAGGGAAACAACAGAGCGGTGGGAGGCGGGGTTAATGGAGAGGGGGGAAGTCAGAGGGAAACAACAGAGCGGTGGGGAGGCGGGGTTAATGGAGAGGGGGGAAGTCAGAGGGAAACAACAGAGCGGTGGGGAGGCGGGGTTAATGGAGAGGGGGGAAGTCAGAGGGAAACAACAGAGCGGTGGGGAGGCGGGGTTAATGGAGAGGGGGGAAGTCAGAGGGAAACAACAGAGCGGTGGGGAGGCGGGGTAAATGGAGAGGGGGGAAGTCAGAGGAAACAACAGAGAGGCGGGGAGGCGGGGTTAATGGAGAGGGGGGAAGTCAGAGGGAAACAACAGAGAGGCGGGTGGCGGGGTTAATGGAGAGGGGGGAAGCCAGAGGGAAACAACGGAGCGGCGGGGAGGCGGGGTTAATGGAGAGGGGGGAAGTCAGAGGGAAACAACAGAGAGGCGGGGTGGCGGGTTAATGGAGAGGGGGGAAGCCAGAGGGAAACAACAGAGCGGCGGGGAGGCGGGGTTAATGGAGAGGGGGGAAGTCAGAGGGAACAACAGAGCGGTGGGGAGGCGGGGTTAATGGAGAGGGGGGAAGTCAGAGGGAAACACAGAGCGGTGGGGAGGCGGGGTTAATGGAGAGGGGGGAAGTCAGAGGGAAACAACAGAGCGGTGGGGAGGCGGGGTTAATGGAGAGGGGGGAAGTCAGAGGGAAACAACAGAGCGGTGGGGAGGCGGGGTTAATGGAGAGGGGGAAGTCAGAGGGAAACAACAGAGAGGCGGGGAGGCGGGGTTAATGGAGAGGGGGGAAGTCAGAGGGAAACAACAGAGCGGTGGGAGGCGGGGTTAATGGAGAGGGGGGAAGTCAGAGGGAAACAACAGAGCGGTGGGGAGGCGGGGTTAATGGAGAGGGGGAAGTCAGAGGGAAACAACAGAGTGGTGGGGAGGCGGGGTTAATGGAGAGGGGGGAAGTCAGAGGGAAACAACAGAGCGGTGGGGAGGCGGGGTTAATGGAGAGGGGGGAAGTCAGAGGGAAACAACAGAGCGGTGGGGAGGCGGGGTTAATGGAGAGGGGGGAAGTCAGAGGGAAACAACAGAGCGGTGGGGAGGCGGGGTTAATGGAGAGGGGGAAAGTCAGAGGGAAACAACAGAGCGGTGGGGAGGCGGGGTTAATGGAGAGGGGGGAAGTCAGAGGGAAACAACAGAGCGGTGGGGAGGCGGGGTTAATGGAGAGGGGGGAAGTCAGAGGGAAACAACAGAGCGGTGGGGAGGCGGGGTAAATGGAGAGGGGGGAAGTCAGAGGGAAACAACAGAGAGGCGGGGAGGCGGGGTTAATGGAGAGGGGGGAAGTCAGAGGGAAACAACAGAGAGGCGGGGTGGCGGGGTTAATGGAGAGGGGGGAAGCCAGAGGGAAACAACGGAGCGGCGGGGAGGCGGGGTTAATGGAGAGGGGGGAAGTCAGAGGGAAACAACAGAGAGGCGGGGTGGCGGGGTTAATGGAGAGGGGGGAAGCCAGAGGGAAACAACAGAGCGGCGGGGAGGCGGGGTTAATGGAGAGGGGGGAAGTCAGAGGGAAACAACAGAGAGGCGGGGAGGCGGGGTTAATGGAGAGGGGGGAAGTCAGAGGGAAACAACAGAGAGGCGGGGTGGCGGGGTTAATGGAGAGGGGGGAAGCCAGAGGGAAACAACGCAGCGGCGGGGAGGCGGGGTTAATGGAGAGGGGGGAAGTCAGAGGGAAACAACAGAGAGGCGGGGTGGCGGGGTTAATGGAGAGGGGGGAAGCCAGAGGGAAACAACAGAGCGGCGGGGAGGCGGGTTAATGGAGAGGGGGGAAGTCAGAGGGAAACAACAGAGCGGTGGGGAGGCGGGGTTAATGGAGAGGGGGGAAGTCAGAGGGAACAACAGAGCGGTGGGGAGGCGGGTTAATGGAGAGGGGGGAAGTCAGAGGGAAACAACAGAGCGGTGGGGAGGCGGGGTTAATGGAGAGGGGGGAAGTCAGAGGGAACAACAGAGCGGTGGGGAGGCGGGGTTAATGGAGAGGGGGAAAGTCAGAGGGAACAACAGAGCGGTGGGGAGGCGGGGTTAATGGAGAGGGGGGAAGTCAGAGGGAAACAACAGAGCGGTGGGGAGGCGGGGTTAATGGAGAGGGGGGAAGTCAGAGGGAAACAACAGAGCGGTGGGGAGGCGGGGTTAATGGAGAGGGGGGAAGTCAGAGGGAAACAACAGAGCGGTGGGGAGGCGGGGTTAATGGAGAGGGGGGAAGTCAGAGGGAAACAACAGAGCGGTGGGGAGGCGGGGTTAATGGAGAGGGGGAAAGTCAGAGGGAAACAACAGAGCGGTGGGGAGGCGGGGTTAATGGAGAGGGGGGAAGTCAGAGGGAAACAACAGAGCGGTGGGGAGGCGGGGTTAATGGAGAGGGGGAAAGTCAGAGGGAAACAACAGAGCGGTGGGGAGGCGGGGTTAATGGAGAGGGGGGAAGTCAGAGGGAAACAACAGAGCGGTGGGGAGGCGGGGTTAATGGAGAGGGGGGAAGTCAGAGGGAAACAACAGAGCGGTGGGGAGGCGGGGTTAATGGAGAGGGGGGAAGTCAGAGGGAAACAACAGAGCGGTGGGGAGGCGGGGTTAATGGAGAGGGGGAAAGTCAGAGGGAAACAACAGAGCGGTGGGGAGGCGGGGTTAATGGAGAGGGGGGAAGTCAGAGGGAAACAACAGAGCGGTGGGGAGGCGGGGTTAATGGAGAGGGGGGAAGTCAGAGGGAAACAACAGAGAGGCGGGGGTGGCGGGGTTAATGGAGAGGGGGGAAGCCAGAGGGAAACAACGGAGCGGCGGGGAGGCGGGGTTAATGGAGAGGGGGGAAGTCAGAGGGAAACAACAGAGAGGCGGGGTGGCGGGGTTAATGGAGAGGGGGGAAGCCAGAGGGAAACAACAGAGCGGCGGGGAGGCGGGGTTAATGGAGAGGGGGGAAGTCAGAGGGAAACAACAGAGAGGCGGGGAGGCGGGGTTAATGGAGAGGGGGGAAGTCAGAGGGAAACAACAGAGAGGCGGGGTGGCGGGGTTAATGGAGAGGGGGGAAGCCAGAGGGAAACAACGCAGCGGCGGGGAGGCGGGGTTAATGGAGAGGGGGGAAGTCAGAGGGAAACAACAGAGAGGCGGGGTGGCGGGGTTAATGGAGAGGGGGGAAGCCAGAGGGAAACAACAGAGCGGCGGGGAGGCGGGGTTAATGGAGAGGGGGGAAGTCAGAGGGAAACAACAGAGCGGTGGGGAGGCGGGGTTAATGGAGAGGGGGGAAGTCAGAGGGAACAACAGAGCGGTGGGGAGGCGGGGTTAATGGAGAGGGGGGAAGTCAGAGGGAAACAACAGAGCGGTGGGGAGGCGGGGTTAATGGAGAGGGGGGAAGTCAGAGGGAACAACAGAGCGGTGGGGAGGCGGGGTTAATGGAGAGGGGGGAAGTCAGAGGGAACAACAGAGCGGTGGGGAGGCGGGGTTAATGGAGAGGGGGGAAGTCAGAGGGAAACAACAGAGCGGTGGGGAGGCGGGGTTAATGGAGAGGGGGGAAGTCAGAGGGAAACAACAGAGCGGTGGGGAGGCGGGGTTAATGGAGAGGGGGGAAGTCAGAGGGAAACAACAGAGCGGTGGGGAGGCGGGGTTAATGGAGAGTGGGAAGTCAACAGGTGGGGAAATGGTGGAAAGCAGGGGAGGGTTGCTGAAGAGTACATTTGAGCTTTAAGAGAGGGAAATGGGAGCAGGAGGAGAGTGGGGATTCTGGAGGCTGTGGGGAGAAGAGGAAGAAATAGGATGTGTTTTCATCACACCCGCGTTTCAATATCACAAGACTTACAGGTACACTCGGGAGGCAAACGAGAGAGACTCACAAGTATACTAGGGAGGCGAAGGAGGAGACGGACGCAGGTATCGATCCGTTTTTTAGTCGACTCAAAAGTATACCCAGCGGCCAGCGGGTGTCACGAGAGGGACTCACAAGTATACTAGGGAGGCGAAGGAGGAGACAGACGCAGGTATCGAGCCTGTGAGGGCATTGTTGTCGAGGAAGCTGTGAGGAAGGTGTGGGAAGGTGGAAGAATAAGAGTGGAAGGGAGACAAATTCAATACTTAAACGGTTGGAGAAGGGGAAAATGAGGGGTTAGCCAAGAGGGGTGCGGAAGACAAGACTAAAGAGGTGCGAGGGCTAGAGAAATGTCAAGAAAAGGGAGGAGGAAAGAAAAGGGTGGAAAGAGGATATGGAGAGGAGAGTGGAGTTGGGTTAGGTGAAGTGCGGGCAAGAGGGAAGAAGGGGGAGACTGGGGGAGGGGGGAAGGGGGAAAGGGGAAGGGGAAGGGGGGTGGTAGAAGGAAGGGCAAGGGATAAGAACCTGATAGGCGATAAGCTTGCGTACTGACAGGAAGCGAAGGTCGGTGAGAGTCTTGAGCTGGCTTGCTTTCGAGTCGACTCAAAAGGGCAAGGGATAAGAAACTGATAGGAGGAGATAATTTGCGTTGCGTACTGACAGGAAGCGAAGGTTGGTGAGAGTCTTGAGCTGGCTTGGGATGGCCCCTGTGAGTGCGTTTCCGTTCAAGTAGCTGGTGGGAGGGAGACGGAGGGATGTGGAGGAGTTGGAAGGGAGAATGAATGGTCAGCGATTGACTTGAGCTGGCTTGGGATGACCCCTGTGAGCGTGTTGGGATGAATGAGGTAGCTCGGTTGGGATGGCCCCTGTGAGCGCGTTGCTGTTCAAGAAGCTGGGAGGAGGGTGGAGTGGAGAGGCTTGGGGATGGGGAGAAAGGTTTCGTTGTGATGTGCAAAGTCGCTCGTAGTAATGGGGTGCGGATACGGCGGCTTTGAATGGTAGCTCGGTTGGGATGGCTCCTGTGAGCGCGTTGCTATCCAAGTAGCTGGTGGATGGGAGGGTGCGGTGGGGTGGGGTGTTATGGGTAGCAAGTAGGGGGGCTTCAGTTGGCTTGGGATGGCTCCTGAGAATGCGAGCGATGCTGTTCAAGTAGCTGGTGGTGGGAAGGTGGATTGGGTGGGGGGAATTGGAAGAAACGTTTTTCTTTCCTATCCAGCGTAGCTGGTGGCAGAATGGGCTGCAAATATGGGGTCCAGAGGGCTTGCTATTGCGAAGACAAGATTGGGTTGGGTTGGGTTCTGTGAGCACGTTGTAACAATTTACTGGGTCGGAGGGAGGGATGGGATGGATGGGGTGAGTTGGGGTGAGTTGCGGTGAGGTGGTATGGCTTGCAATGTTCAAATTGGCGTGCTGGACAGAAAGGATGAGGTCTTAAGTAAAGCGTGTCACAAATGTAAAAGCACAAACATCTTTGTAAAAAGGGCCGCAGTGTGGTGAAGTGAGGTGACGGTGCTTGCTAAGAGATGAGGTGCAACTTTTGAGAGAGCAGTGAGTTGAGAGGGAAAGGAGCCTGTTAGCTTGTTCTCTCACTCCTCGCATTGCACCAGTAGGGAGTGCTTGTAGCGAGAGTGCTTGTAAAGAGTAGACTCACAGTCCATCTAGGTTGGTGAGGGTACTGAGTTGAGCGGGGATGGTGCCGGTCAGCTTGTTTTTCCGAAGGTCACTGCACTCGGATGCAAGGGGAGGAAGCGGGGGAGGGATGGGTGGGTGGGCGGGCGGGCGGGTATGTGAAGGAACGGAGTGTGAAACGGAGGTGCGCGGTTTGCAACATTTCCAGGCGATTCAAAACTGCACTCGGGTGGGGGGTGGGGGGTGGGGGTGGGAGGTGGGGGGGGAAGGGGGAGTGGGGAGCAGTGTGGCTGGAAAGGGGTGTGGGCGGGCGGGCGGGCGCGCAACAGGATGAGACGGATGACGGTGTGTGAAAGGGAGACATTTGGGTCGACTCAAAGGGGGCTCGGGTGGGGAGGGGCGTGGGTGGGCAGGCAGGCATATTCACATGTGTCGTATTAATGGGATGGTGTGTGAAAGGGAAAGCAGATTTTTAGTAAGACACAAGTGAATGTGCAGGCTTACGCAAAATAACACACCCTGGCAACAGGCGAATCGTTGCTTGTGGGCAGCATGCAATGGAAACACTTAAGAGAAGGCAACACTTAAAGAGAAAGCTTGTGCGCAAACAGCACAACAGTAAGTGTCACCAGCAGCTCACTGCGGGTTTGCATTGTTGTGTGGGTATGCAACACCATGTGTGGCCGGGCAGACTGGTTTGCATTGTTTTACATGTATTTGAATAAGAGTATGACGTTTGCATTTTGCACAACACGTAAGTGTGTTTCATTCCGTGTGATGTGCTCACAGTGTTTGAGGTGACTTTTGAGTCGACTCAAGGTGACTTTTGAGGTGACTTTTGAGTCGACTCAAAAGTCACTGTGCTTCATTCCGTGTGATGTGCTCACAGTGTCTGCAATGCCTTGAGTGCGGAGAGCGCAGCAGGGATGGATCCAGTGAGCTGATTGTCCTGCAGGTTACTGGGAGCATGCAAGGAGGGCGAGAGGGGGGTGCACCGTGGATGGAAGTTAGCAGGAGGCACACAAGCAAGAGGCTGAAGTGAAGGGGGTGGATCCAGTGAGCTGATTCTCCTGGAGGTTACTGTGAGGACGCAAGGAGGTACAAGGAGGTACAAGGAGGTACAAGGAGGTACAAGGAGGTACAAGGATGTACAAGGATGTACAAGGAGGTACAAGGAGGTACAAGGATGTACAAGGATGTACAAGGAGGTACAAGGAGGTACAAGGAGGTACAAGGAGGTACAAGGAGGTACAAGGAGGTACAAGGAGGGATAAGAGGGTGGATGGAAGCTAACACGAGGGACAGACACGTGCAAGAGGCTGAAGTGAAGGGGGTGGATCCAGTGAGCTGATTCTCCTGGAGGCTAATGCGAGGGTCCAGGGAGGGGAACAAGGATGGATGGATGGATGGATGGATGGATGTAGACATGGTTAAAAAGCGATGCGATGCGATGCGATATCGCATCGCTTTTTCTGGTATCGCCGAAATTATCGCGGAGATGCGATGTCGCATCGCGGCGATTTAAATATATATATATATATATATATCGCATATCGCAAATTTGGCGCGATATTCTTCTATATCGCATTTCAATGTGCGATATATCACGCGATGCGATATTTTATCGCATCGCCAGGGGCACATTGCAAAAAGAATTAGCGTACCCTGGCAATTTGGATAGGGAGCTATGTTGGAAATGCGGAATGTTTTCAAAAAGTGGCACAACACTGAATTACAACGGCAGACCGGCGGTTGTCATAAATAGAAAGCAAACAAAAATTGGCGAGCTCCAGCAAAAAGAGAGCCCCACTATCGTCCAAGGGGGGGGGTGGGAGTGGTGGGGAGGTGGAGAGTGGAGGGGGGGGGGGGGGGAGCGTACTATTGCGAGCGACCATGGAATGGTCGCCCGACGTTCTTTCCGTGGTTTAGGTGGGGGGTGACGAAGGGAGTGGTGGGAGATGCCAGCAGGAGAGGCTAAGCAAACGGACATAGAGAACACAGATGCCAAGTCTCGAAAACACCCCTCACACAACCCAGGCCTGATCTCCAGGCCGAGATCAACGGCCGTGTCGTCGTCCACGCCGCCATCAAGGCGCTCCCCCGGGTGAGAGGCGATCCAGGACTTCAGCATCATGCAAGCCCGGATGCGCTCCCTCCCTAGGCGGTGCCGCTGCCAGTGAATGAGGTTGCGGCCCTGTGAGAACAGGCGCTCGCAGGGGGCGGAGGTGGCTGGGATGGCAAGGTAGTCCATCGCCATCCGCCGCAACGCTGGAAGCTCGGTATGGTAACGCCAAAACTGCAAAGGGCACTCGTGCAACTCCTGGAGGGGGAGCTCCAAGTACCGCTCGATCTCGTCCTTGGCCTGCTGCGTCTGCCTGGCACGCACTGCCCTAAGATGTGCGAACACCCCCAGATCCTCATCCGCCTCCCCTCCCTGATCCTCCTCCTCCTCCCCACCCCCAGTCGCAACCCCTTCCGCCATGGCCGCCTGCAACCGTGCGGCCGCATCAACACCCTTCTTTCCGCCACCACCACCCTTCCCCCCCAGACCATCCGCATGTAGATGGCCCGGTGACATCCCGGGCCTCCCCCTCTCTCCCAACCCCGCCCCTGCCATCCCTCCACCTCTCCCTCTCCCCTTGCCCCTCCCCCGACCACGCCCACTCCCTCTCCCCCTCCCCCTCCCTCGCGCCGTCTCATTTGCCCCCCCCCTCCCCCTCCCTGATGCCTTAACCTTCTTCCCAACCATACCCCCGGAGAGTTGGGAGGCCATTGCAGTCTTGCGCTTCCCTTTGGACCCCTCCATCCCTCCACCAAAGGCCTCTCCAAGGCCCCCCCCCCTCTTCCTCCTCAACATCATCCCCATCCACCTCCTCCTCATAACCCCCCTCCTCATCCCCCTCCCCATTGTACTCCTCATCCTCCTCATCCCCCTCCTCCTCCTCCTCCCCCTCCTCCTCCTCCTCCTCCTCCTCCTCCTCCTCCTCCTCCTCTCCCGCATCATCGTCCTCCCCCTCACCCCCCCCCCCCCTCCCGCCTCCCCGGCGTCGCCCTCCCACCCCCGCATGCCCATCGCCCCCCCGCCCCCCCCCCCTTCCCCATCCGTCGCAGCTCAGAGCCGCCAGGCGTGCCTGTCTTCCTCCTCCACCCTCACGACCACCCCCTCCACCTGGGGGGCAGCACCCACACCTCCAGCAGCACTGCCCTGAGTTCCGTGGCAACCGCCGCCAACCACCAACTCCCCTCCGCCATCCGCTCCAGTGCGCGCAGAGCCGGAGGTGGGCTTTGCAAACAAGGCCTCGTCCTGCTGCCTGCGCTGGGCTCGCGCCTCAACGGTCGTCATCCCGGTGGCGCCGCCATAGCGCCCCCTCCCCTCAACCCCCGCTCCCCGACTAGGCCCTCCGCCGCTCCGCCCCGCCCTACCGCGTGGAGGGATCAACGGGTTTTGATCCCTACCGCTCTGAACCCCTCTAAACCCGTTGATCAACGGGTACTGTGCAAGTGCAAGGAGGGATCAAGAATCGCGTTGGTCCTATCTGTGGCCAGCCGCCTATTATTCTTGACAATTCAATCGATCCTTCAATCAAAAGCAGATGTCTCAACGGTTCCAGCTTACAGTTGTGTTAGAGCCACGAGTTTGGAAAGGCCAACAGGAATCGAGCCCGTGAATTTGTTGGTGTCCAGTCGGCTGGAAGTTGGAGGCAAGGCAAAGCAACGGAGAAAGGCAAAACGAAAAGGTGGGGACAGAAGAGGAAAACGGAAGAGGATGATAAGTCTATTTTGAGGCGCCTCAAAAATAGACTCCTAACTTTTGAGCCGACTCAAAAGGCATCCCGTCCCGTTGCAAGCAACATGCAACTCCATGCGTCCCGTTGCAAGCAACATGCATCTCCATGCGTCCCGTTGCAAGCAACATGCATCTCCATGCGTCCCGTTGCAAGCAACATGCATCGCCATGCGTCCCGTTGCAAGCAACATGCATCTCCATGCGTCCCGTTGCAAGCAACATGCATCTCCATGCGTCCCGTTGCAAGCAACATGCATCTCCATGCGTCCAGTTGCAAGCAACATGCATCTCCATGCGTCCCGTTGCAACATGCATCTCCATGCGTCCCGTTGCAACATGCATCTCCATGCGTCCCGTTGCAAGCAACATGCATCTCCATGCGTCCCGTTGCAAGCAACATGCATCTCCATGCGTCCCGTTGCAAGCAACATGCATCTCCATGCGTCCCGTTGCAAGCAACATGCATCTCCATGCGTCCCGTTGCAAGCAACATGCATCTCCATGCGTCCCGTTGCAAGCAACATGCATCTCCATGCGTCCCGTTGCAAGCAACATGCATCTCCATGCGTCCCGTTGCAAGCAACATGCATCTCCATGCGTCCCGTTGCAAGCAACATGCATCTCCATGGAGAAAAGTCCTTGGCAAGCAACATGCATCTCCATGCATTGGCTCAGTGCTTGAAAAAGTCCTCTTGTGTCATGGAGAGACGGCAAAAGAAATGAGGTGACTTCTGCGTCGACTAGGTGACTTTTGCGTCGACTAGGTGGCTTTTGAGTCAACTAGGTGACTTTTGAGTCAACTAGGTGACTTTTGAGTCGACTAGGTGACTTTTGAGTCGACTAGGTGACTTTTGAGTCAACTAGGTGACTTTTGAGTCAACTAGGTGACTTTTGAGTCAACTAGGTGACTTTTGAGTCAACTAGGTGACTTTTGAGTCAACTAGGTGACTTTTGAGTCAACTAGGTGACTTTTGAGTCGACTAGGTGACTTTTGGGTCAACTAGGTGACATTTGAGTCAACTAGGTGACTTTTGAGTCAACTAGGTGACTTTTGAGTCAACTAGGTGACTTTTGAGTCGACTAGGTGACTTTTTGGTCAACTAGGTGACTTTTGAGTCGACTAGGTGACTTTTGAGTCAACTAGGTGACTTTTGAGTCAACTAGGTGACTTTTGAGTCGACTAGGTGACTTTTGGGTCAACTAGGTGACTTTTGAGTCGACTAGGTGACTTTTGGGTCAACTAGGTGACTTTTGAGTCGACTAGGTGACTTTTGAGTCAACTAGGTGACTTTTGAGTCAACTAGGTGACTTTTGAGTCGACTAGGTGACTTTTGAGTCGACTAGGTGACTTTTGAGTCAACTAGGTGACTTTTGAGTCAACTAGGTGACTTTTGAGTCAACTAGGTGACTTTTGAGTCGACTAGGTGACTTTTGGGTCAACTAGGTGACTTTTGAGTCAACTAGGTGACTTTTGAGTCAACTAGGTGACTTTTGAGTCAACTAGGTGACTTTTGAGTCGACTAGGTGACTTTTGGGTCAACTAGGTGACTTTTGAGTCGACTAGGTGACTTTTGAGTCAACTAGGTGACTTTTGAGTCAACTAGGTGACTTTTGAGTCGACTAGGTGACTTTTGGGTCAACTAGGTGACTTTTGAGTCGACTAGGTGACTTTTGGGTCAACTAGGTGACTTTTGAGTCGACTAGGTGACTTTTGAGTCAACTAGGTGACTTTTGAGTCAACTAGGTGACTTTTGAGTCAACTAGGTGACTTTTGAGTCAACTAGGTGACTTTTGAGTCAACTATGTGACTTTTGAGTCAACTGGGTGACTTTTGGGTCAACTAGGTGACTTTTGAGTCAACTAGGTGACTTTTGAGTCAACTAGGTGACTTTTGAGTCAACTAGGTGACTTTTGAGTCGACTAGGTGACTTTTGAGTCGACTAGGTGACTTTTGGGTCAACTAGGTGACTTTTGAGTCGACTAGGTGACTTTTGAGTCAACTAGGTGACTTTTGAGTCAACTAGGTGACTTTTGAGTCAACTAGGTGACTTTTGAGTCAACTAGGTGACTTTTGAGTCAACTATGTGACTTTTGAGTCAACTGGGTGACTTTTGGGTCAACTATGTGACTTTTGAGTCAACTAGGTGACTTTTGAGTCAACTCAAAAGTCACCTCAATTGAAATAGTCCCCTTGTGTCAGGGAGAGACCACAAAAGAAATGGAAGATGAGGAGATTGGAAACACAACGAACTGATCATCTCAAGAAGTGAATGATGTGGAAACACAAAAAAGCTGCGATGGCAGTTTCACGAGAGGGGATTTATTCATGCACACAGGAGTTCACAAATAGACCAATAACCTGAGCAGCAGCCTTACCAAATGCGATTTTTGAGAAGCCTATAAAAACAGTTTCGCGACGGAGGGGATGGGGATTTATTGAGGCAAACAGGAGTTCACAAATAGATCAATAAAGTGGAGTGGAGGCATGTTTTAGAATTCTCTGAAATTACCTCGCAACAGAGGGGATTTATTTATGCAAAACAGGAGCTAACAAATTAACCCAAAAAAAAAGTGAGCAGGCTCAATCAATGCACGTACAGGACAGTTAGGTTAGTTAGAGCAGAGAATGCAGGTGGGATTGCTCCTGACATGGAGTTGTTGATCATCTTGCTGCGAGGAGGACACGAGAAACCAGGAGAAAAGGGGCAAGGCAGGGGGGAACAGAGAAGCTTTCAGAAACCGGCGAGGTGCGGAGAAAAACACGAGGGGGGGAGGAACTGGGGTTTCTACAGAAGAGACGAATGAGGGGGAAGGGCATGGCTGCAAAAAGGGTTTTAGACAGTGCAAGTAACAACACGGTGAGCTGAGGGCATGGCATGTGATGTCATGGCATGATGTCGGCATGATGTCATGGCACGCACTGCCACCCCATGCAACCATGCTGCGATGCGATGTATGATACCATGTCACATCATGTCATGCCACGGCATGTCATGCGGTGACAAACCGCCGTAGGCTTGAGCAACGGGTCGGGTAACCCGACCCGAACCCGACTTTTTGACGGGTCGGGTCGACATTTGCGGAGGGTCGACCCAACCCTCGGGTACCTGATCCGACCCGACCCGACCTGACCGACAAAACCCGACCCGTCGGGTCGGCTTATTACCCGTCCCTGCCCCTATGCCAACCCGACCCGACCCGACCCGAAATCGGGTCAGGTAGTACCCGACCTATTAAACCCGGGTCGGGTTGACATTTCCTGAACTCCGACCCGACCCGACCCGAACCCGACATCGGGTAGGGCAAAGTCGGGTCGGGTCGGGTTCATGCTCAAGCCCCGCTGGCATGCAAAACATGCATATGCCACACATGCATATACCACATGTGGATGTGCCACACATGCACATGCCACACATGCAGACACCAAACACGCTTCCGCCACACATGCACACATCAGGACAAGTCATCTAGTGTCATGCCACACATGCATACACATCTAATCGCATATCACACATGCATAGACATCTACTGTCATGGCATGTCACACATGCGTACACATCTAATACCATGGCACGCCACACATGCATACACATCTACTGTCATGGCATGTCACACATGCGTAGACATCTACTGGCATGGCATGTCACACATGCGTACACATCTAATGGCATGGCATGTCACACATGCGTACACATCTAATGGCATGGCATGTCACACATGCGTACACATCTAATGGCATGGCATGTCACACATGCGTACACATCTAATGGCATGGCATGTCACACATGTGTACACATCTAATGGCATGGCATGTCACACATGCGTACACATCTAATGGCATGGCATGTCACACATGCGTACACATCTTTGAGCTTCGGAAGAGCGGTGATCATTGTTGGGAAGGGCCCGGAAATGCCACTCCTGCTCATGGATCTGGCAACGGAGGGAGACGGAGGAGGAAGGCCATAGAGGAAATGGGGGGTTTTGGGGAGGTGACTTTTGTTAGGATCGCCTAAAAAATCACCTCTGAAACTGCCGGCTCATGGACCTGGCAGGCAGGGAGAGGGACGGCCACACACACACACACAGGGAGATTGGTCACGAACAGGGATTACCCTAGGTTTGTCAGAACAAGTCATTTCAAATCAAATCTTCAGGCCTACAGGATAACAGGAGATACATACACATGCTCGTTGTGGTAGATTAGCACATGTGAAAAGACAACAATGGGTACCAGAGGAATGTTGGGTGCAGGGTGGTTTGCTCACAGAATGCTGGGTGCAGGGTGGTTTGCTCACAGAATGCTGGGTGCAGGGTGGTTTGCTCGCAGAATGCTGGGTGCAGGGTGGTTTGCTCACAGGAATGCTGGGTGAAGAGCGGTTTGCTCACAGGAACGCCGGGTGCAGGGTGGTTTGCTCACAGCAACGCTGGGTGCAGGGTGGTTTGCTCACATAATGCTGGGTGCAGAGTGGTTTGCTCACGTGAATGCTGAGTGCAGATTGGTTTGCTCACATAATGCTGGGTGCAGAGTGGTTTGCTCACATGAATGCTGAGTGCAGAGTGGTTTGCATTGCTCACAGGAATGTCATTTTCGTTAGTCTTGAGAATTCCGTAGGCAGGGAAGTAAGGTTCCCAGTGGTGGTACTGCGATGTGGTTGTATGGGGGAGAGGGTTAAGAGGGGGGAGGCGGGTCTCTTTTTGAGTTTACTCAAACGTAGGCAGGGAAGTAAGGTTCCCAGTGGTTGTACTGCGATGTGGTTATATGGGGGGAGGGAGGCATAAAGAGGGGGGAGGCGGATCTCCTTTGAGTCTACTCAAACGTAAGCAGGGAAGTAAGGTTCCCAGTGGTTGTACTGCCATGTGGTTGTATGGGGGGAAGAAGGGGGGTAAGAGGGGGGAGGCGGGTCTGCTTTCATTAATAAAGTCTACTCATAGGCAGGGAAGTAAGGTTCCCAGTGGTTGTACTGCCATGTCATTGTATGGGGGGGAAGGGAGAGGAAGGAACGAGCGTAGGTGTGGGAGTGGGGAAAGAAAGAAAGAAAGAGAGAGAGAAAGAAAGAAAGAACATGCTTGGACACTGGAGTGCATAAAGCAAGAAAGCCTCCATTTAGCCAATTCAAATCAAAGCGCTGTTCGAGAGTGGTTGTTCGTCTCACATAGCAGAGCTGACTTTTGAGTCGCCTGAACTTTGGGTCGACTCAAAAGTCAATTCAAAGAGCTGTTCGAGAGATGGACTCACATAGCAGAGCTGAGATGACTTTTGAGTCACCTCAAAAGTCATCCCGTTTTAAGTCAACTCAAAAGTCATCCCGTTTGAAGTCAACTCAAAAGTCATCCCGTTTTAAGTCAACTCAAAAGTCATCCCGTTTTAAGTCAACTCAAAAGTCGTCCCGTTTTAAGTCAACTCAGAAGTCACCTCGTTTTGAGTCAACTCAAAAGTCGTCTCGTTTAAAGTCAACTCAAAAGTCATCCCGTTTAAGTCAACTCAAAAGCCACATCATTTTGAGTCGCCGTTCGAAAGTGATCTTGGCCTCACGTAACGGAAAGTTATCTCGCTTTGAGTCCTACTCTTTAGTAAAAACTCGTTGTTTGAGAGGAAAGTGGGACTCTGGCTCACATAGCGGAGAGGAAAGTGAGGTTGCCGATTGCTGCTGGAACAGCTCCCAGAGCGTTGAACAGGTACCTGGGGAAGAGATGAGGAGGGGAGGAGGGGAGCAGAAGTGAGGAGCACGAGTGAGACAAGGGGGTTGCCGATTGCTGCGAGAACAGCTCCCAGGGCACTGTACAGGTATCTGGTGACAAGGAGGGGAGGAGGGGAGGAGAGGAGGAGGGGAAGTGGGGAGGAGGGGAGGAGGGGAGGAGGGGAGGAGGGGAGGAGGGGAGGAGGGGAGGAGGGGAGGAGGGGAGGAGGGGAGGAGGGGAGGAGGGGAGGAGGGGAGGAGGGGAGGAACATAAATGAGGAGCAGGAGTGAGACAAGGGGGCTGCCGATTGGTGCAGGAACAGCTCGCAGGGCGTTGAATAGGTATCCGGGGACAAGGGAAAGACGCTTAACGCAGTCATAGGTAACAACGGTGTTGTGTGACCGCATCACTCCAAGCAGGAAGGCTCAGTCATTATAATCCAGTCCAGCCCAGCAGTACACCATTCGTTCGAATTGAGTAACAATGTAACCACTTGTTACTCGCATCACTCACAGCACAATCACGTTGCCGTTGGCGTTGCAGTTGACTCCGAACAGGAACGAGCAGTCGTCGTTGGCCGTCCAGTACACCTTGGGGCTGCGGCTGGGAGTCACGAAGCCCATGGTGTCTCGGATTGTAATAAGAGCGTTCCCTGTAAAATGAGATATAGTGAGGCAGGAATCAGTGTGAGGGAGTGAGTGACGTGTACGGTGTACCGTCCAGTACACCTTGGGGCTGCGGCTGGGAGTCACAAAGCCCATGGTGTCTCGGATCGTTATCAGCGCGTTCCCTGTACAACTGGGTGAGAGAGAGAGGGGCGGAGGAGAGGGGGGGAGTGGGAAGAGGAAGGGGGGGGGGGGGGGGGAGGAGGAGGAGGGGGAGATACGGTGACGAGAGAAAGTACACCTTGGGGCTGCGGCTGGGAGCCACGAAGCCCATGCTGTCCCTGATTGTTATGAGCGCGTTCCCTGGAAAAAAAAAAAAAAAAAAAAAAAAAAAAAACCAAACAAACAAACCAAAAAAAAAAAACACTGAGAGAGAGATGGAGAGGCTGCGGCTGGGAGTCACAAAGGCCAGAGCTCTCAGGATGAACCCCCTTCTCAGAAAACACCTACATGCTACAGCATGAACGGGGTCGGGGATGGTACGCCGTGCAACTAAAGGCCTCATACAACTCAGTATCCCGTCTCTCGCCACACCATATCCCACATTCCCCTCTCGTACTCCATCTCTCGCATTCCCCCTCGCACAACTCCTCACGCAACCCCTCTCTTAGCTTCACCCACTCACATTTTCGCGGATTCCCTCTCTCGTGCTGCCTATTCGTATCTCTCTCCCTCAATCTCTCACACTCCCTCTCTTACATTCCCTCTCGCATATTCCCTCAGTGAGGGACCCTAACCCATATGCCTCTCCCATATCGCCCATGCGTACCACCACCTCACACCACCGCACACCACCTCACACCATCTCACATCGCCACGGCACTCACATTCGTTGGCGACGACAGGCACAGCTGCCACGTGGCATCGACCGCCCGCCAGCGCTAGCAGTACCGTCACGATGAGCGACAATTGCAGTGATGACGTGGACCTCCCGCACGCTCTCGGTATTGTAGCAGCCTTCCCGCGAGGCCTCCATACCGTCACGACGGCAGGCGAAACCGGTAACCAGGGCGAGGATTTCGCGCGCGATCTGGACGTGGGCTCGGTAGGCATTCTAGCCATCCATCGCGCTTCCCGTGCCGACATGATGAGCCTCGCAAGGCAAAAAGCATGAAGGAAATACTTCGACTCTCCGTCTAACGACTATATTCTCGTTCTAATGGCATTCTAATGGCGTTCGAATGGCAAACGACTAACACCTACTCGTGGCTGGTCTATAACGGCTCTTAAGGCTCTACTTCCCGCTTCTCGTGCTAGAGTTGACGGTTCCTCACGTCGTTGAACCAGGGGCGAGGAAGAGGGCAAACGGCTATCAGGTGGGCTGATCGAACCTCCAGAGTCGAGCGAAAAGCGGCGACCCGTAACAATAACTGTAACAGATCGCTGTTTTCCGTAGCAATATCGCCACTTTGGTTGAAGTACTACGTCGATGACAAGTAACAACGACGACGACGATTCTGTTCTGCCGCAATGCGGTTTACGCCGCGTCGATGTGTGCAAGCCACAAAGGTGAAGAAGGCGTGTCGATGCGGTTTACGCAATGCGGTTTACGCCGCGTCGATGTGTGCAAGCCACAAAACTAATGACGTCATTAGGAAAAGAAGGTGAAGGTGAAAAGACGAAGCTGTGTCTTAGAGCAAGCGGAGGGTGCTGCAGCCTGAATGTAACCCTGTTTCCAAGCTTTTAGACTTGAACTGCAGCCAGAAATATGAGATTCGGGCCTAGGAACTAAGAACAAAGCCTAACCTCAGAACTACTCTATGGCAACTTCCAGATGCAACTACGGCAAACAAAGCCTCCTAGAACTACTCTTCTGAAAGATCTTCACTCAAACGAAACCCGCCATACCGTTCAAAATCACGACTCAACCCTCATTTTCCCCAGCTTCAGATCAGAGTGCGAGCCCAACGCGATGAGAGCCGTTGGATCAATGAAAGCAGGATTCGTGAAGCCAGCTCACTAGAGTTACTGTACGTATGTCGCATCCGGTCGGAAGCACCAAAAAGGCAATCCAGTCGAGTCACAAAAACAATTGTTCTTAGCATACACTATTCATGTACTGTATTTGTGTAAGGAAAACATTTCCCCTACTGTGCATCCTGCTCACTAGCGCGTAAGGCCGTTGTCATTGGTCCTGCCTGGTTTGTCAACCCGGCCCACGTCAGCACTGCGGAGTCACTCAAACCAAATAAACCCGCGCTCGTTTATGGCGTGTCACACTGAGTGATTTCGGCAAACTGGTCCTTCAGGGTCGGATCGAGCCCGGTCAGGCGGCGCGATTTCGTGCGTGATGGGGCTCCATGCTCATTCTGGCGAAACCCTTTCTTTGTTGTCTCATCTCGCACCGTATGTAAGGAATTTCCATTCCTTACTGATTCGTACGCTAGCGCGTACACCCGAACTCCTAGATCTACTCGTCACGTTCGGCCTTATTTGTCGGCCCAACCTCTTCCCGAGTCGTGTCCGGCACTCTCGCCACATTGCCGAACCTACCCATGTTCCGAGGTTATCACCCTAGCACGCCAACCCCTATATAACCTCGTACTTTCATTGCAATAGCGACCTTGTATTCTCACGTTTTAGTTCATTGACACTTCCTATATCATTACAGCTGGTATCGGAGGCTGACCTTTCCATAAATTTTATGGTTTCCCGTTTATTTAAATAAGGGTGGTCAGAGGGGACTAGCACGGCTGCACAGCAGTTGTCTTGGATCATAAATATTTTTACGCCAACAAATACTGTTAAATTATATATTTTGTTATATAATTGGTAGGCTTGGTAGGTGTTACTGAAACCTACTGTAGAGGGTACAACCCCCCTCCTTGTATGGCTCTCTCTTCTATTCTCAACCCCCTTTTTCTCTCCTCAACTTTCCTAGCCTAAAACCTCTCGCCATTTCAATGGCTTCGATCCTAGCTTACTTTAACATGGTAATAGAGCAGGTCGCCCTTCCCGGGCCTGCTCCCTACGCTTCCGCCATGCACTCCTCCTCTTCCTCTCGCGCTGCCATGGCGGCCGCGTCGTGCTGCTGTGGCGGCGTCGCCATGCCGCTGACCGCGTTGTGCCGCAGCCGTCTCGACGCGCTGCCGTGGCGTCGCGCAGTCGTGGCGTTGACGTCCAGCTGTGGCGGCGTCGTCGACGTCCAGCCGTGGCGGCGTGACGGCACCGTCGTGCTGCCGTCGCAGCAACGACGTCTCGCCGTGGCATCATTGACGCCGCACTGTGGCGACATCGTAATGCTGGGGTGGCGGCAGCCGGCCGCGCAACGCCTGTGGCACCGCTATACCTGCTGCCCGCTCGCCTGCCACGGACGTGATTCTGGACCACGAAACCTACTGTAGAGGGTACAACAACCCTCCTTGTATGCCTCTCTCTTCTATTCTCGACCCCCTTTTTCTCTCCTCAACTTTCCTAGCCTAGAACCTCTCGCCATTTCTATGGCTTCCCTCCTACCTAGATCATAGCTTACTTTAACAACTACAACGCGTGCGCTAGCTTTTGCTCCGTCCTGACCGCCATGGCCTCGGTAGACTCGATAGTTGAGGGACAGTCTACCTCGATTGTTGCGAACCCTGCCCGGGAAATTGTGGACCTGCAAACATTCATGGGTCAGTTGAAGAATTTGACAAGCGTCATCCACGACCTCCGCGACGAGAAACAACGACTTCGCCAGGCGCAAGAGAGGCGTCAAGAGGAGTCAGGCGACGATGCACGAAGCGAGGCGGATGAGCAGCAACCGTCGCCAGTGGAGCTGGCACGACTAGCGGCAACAGCCCCGTGCTCGACAAGTAGCGGTGTAAGATATCAGCAATCTATTCCTTTCGACCCAGCTAAAAAAAACGTGACGTTGCGGCAGTGGATATTCACTATGAATATCTATATCAACGCGGCGGGCATCCGAGACAATCAGAAGCGTATCAGCCGCGCGTTAACACTGTTGCAAGGGGCCGCCCTACAGTGGTGGAAGGTTATCGTCGACTCAGCGGCGACTCGCACAGAAGGACAGCACGAGTGGTCCGAAGAGTTCGGCGACGAAGAAGAAGCAGACTTCTTGTTCGGTGCGACCCACATTCGCACGTGGGCAACGTGGTGCGCAGAGCTTCGCAAGCGGTTTGAGCATGCTCCTGACTTAGACAAGGCACGCAAGACTCTACGCATGTGGAAGCAGCTGGGATCTGTGTCCGAGCAAATCACGTCATTCTTGACGTTGGTGGACAGATGTGGCTACATGTACGAATTGGAGAAGGTCGACAAGTACATGGGCGGATTGAAGCCCGAAATATAGTACCAGATAAAACCCTGCGAAGCGGCTACAAGACTCGTCGAAGCTGCTGATTCGATCACGAAGCCGATGACAAACTTCTACGACGGAGGTCGCCCTCGAGAACGGTACCAGCGCGCTACGATAAAAGGGGTGGACGCAATGGATATCTACACAGTTGCTCCACGAAATACGGGGCTATGCTACCACTGTGGCTGGCTGCGTCACATCCGACGCACCTGCCAATAATTCGTAGCCCTCCTGAATTCTATGGGGAAGAAGCCGGAGGAGCGACCGGGAAATGGGTCGCGTCGGTAAGTACCGGGCCGCTTACTGACGGGCAGGCTTCTTCGCCGGAGCCACACAGTCCCCACCGGGTCATGATTCCGATTGTTGCAATCGACCGGACCTGGACGAATAAGCGGGACGAAACTGCTGATCACCCTGTGTTGGTGAAGGGTAAAGTCAACGGGGTGTTATTGAATATTTTCGTTGATGGAGGCGCGAGTCACAGCCTCAAACAACTGGACAGGGCTTAGAAATTGGGTATACCGTAATCACCCGGATAGACGCCCCTATGGGCGTTTACTAGACTGGTTTGAAAACGTGGGGGGGCGTTTAATTGAATAAAAAATATAAGCCCATGGGCGTTTTAAAGGGATTATATGGAAAATTATAAGTTTGACATCGACATGTAGCTGCTGGTTTGTCGTGTGCAATGGGAGTAATTTTAGGCGAGGATTAAAAGTCAATCGCGTTGGAAGTCCAGTCAACGCGGTGCCAGGCTGGAAACTTCCTTTTCTGATATGAATCGTGCTGGCGCGAGGTGTCAGGGAGCGTGAGTTCCGCCTCTGACGGGCACGAAGCGAGTTGCCTCGGTATTACCTGCACCCGTTCGGTCTATTTGTACAGTGTTTCAACTGAATTTCTGAGGGGGCTTATAGGGTACATGTTCTGAAAAAATAAGGGGGGCCTATAATCGAATAATGCCTATAAGTCCCAATGCACGAGTTAGAGCCCATGGGACTAATCCTACGGAGGGGCGTCTATCCGGGTGATTACGGTACCCTTACTGAAGTGTCTACCTGAAATCGACGCCCGACTGGTGGACGGAATACCGCTGGCAATACAAGAACGAGTGGAGAACGTTGGTTTTACATGTGGGGAGCATGTAAAATTTCGGGTGGGACTACTGGCGACTACTCTCGACGGATGCGATGTGCTACTGGGATGTGATTGGTTACGATGGTACAACCCGAAGATTGATTGGACAATGGGCAGCTGCAGCATCAAGCTCGATGGGATTTCCCGCGAGCTGTCAAAATGAACTGGGCCCCGCATGCGAAGCACCCAAGTCCACGGGATCACTTTCAAATGCGAGATGAAAGCTGGAGTTGCAGCCTACGCCGTTGATCTTTGTGAGGTGACATCGACGGTCGAGACTGAAGATATCGAGAAGTTGTGCAAGGCTGTCCCTCCATACTTAGCGGACCTGATTCGGAAATACCCAGAGATTTTCCCGGACGATCTACCAGCTAGACTCCTGCCAAGCTGACCTGAGGATCACCGAATCGAGCTGGAACCAGGCGCCCAACCGACGGTACAGCGCCAATTTTGGCTCAGCCAACCAGAACTTGAAGAAGTACAGCAACAGTTGGATTACCTTCTCACGAAAGGATTTATCCGGCCCAGCACGTCACCATATGCCGCCCCGATACTGTTGACGCCGAAAAAGGATGGAGGATTCAGAATGTGTATCAACTACCGTGCACTCAACCGGATCACCATCAAGTCGCGTTACCCAATCCCGCGAGCCGACGAACTTCTCGACCAACTTCGCAGCGCCAAGTTTTCCTCGAAAATCGACTTGCGATGAGGTTACTATTAGATTCGCGTTGTCGCCGAATATTGTCACAAGACGGCATTTCAAACCTGTTACAGCAGCTACGAGTACCTGGTGATGCCTTTTAGCCTCACAAATACGCCCTCGACCTTTCAAATGACCATGAATGGAATTTTCCAGGAACTCTTAGACAAATGCGTCATCATCTACCTCGACAATATACTAATCTACAGCCGCAGCAAGGAGCAGCACTTATAGGATCTTGATGCAGTCTTCACACTGCTGCACAAGAATTGCCTCATAACCAAAGGGTCTAAGTGCAACTTTCTTAAACAGGAGTTGGAATTTTTGGGCCACATCGTCTCTACCGAAGGAGTGAAAATCGACCCCAAGAAAATCAAGACCATCCATGAGTGGAAGCCGCCGAGCAACATCAAGGAACTGTAGAGTTTTTTGGGTTTCGTCAACTACGTCCGCCGATTTATCTGCCCCGCTAACTGACCGCCTCAAGGATCACGATTGTTTTTTGTGGGGAGAGAAGCAGCAAGCTGCATTCGACCAACAGAAGATCGCCCTCACGTCGCCGCCCGTCCTTCGTATCTCCGATCCTGACTATCCATACGAAGTTGTCACCAACACCAACGACATCGCCATCGGCACAGTTCTACAGGATTTCGGCGACGGATTATCGCCTACGAATCACGGAAGCTGCAGGGCGCAGAAAAAAAATGTACAGTACACGACAAGGAAATGTTGGCGATCGTTCATGCGCTCAAGACCTGGCTGTGCTACCTGACTGGCGCTGACGTCACTCTGTGGACCGACCACAAATCCCTCCAATACCTGCGAGCCCTACCGAACCTCAACCCGCAACAGATTCGATGGCTCGATTTCCTCGAGTCAAACTTCCACTATATCATCACCTACAAGCGGGCACCAGTAACATTGCTGATGCCCTGACCCGACCCATTGCCCATACAACCGCCATACTAGTCGCCCAGACCAGCCCACTCCTTACCGGAATATTTATCCACAGACTGACGGGCAGACTGAACAAGTCAGCCAAACAATGGAGCAACTTATTCGGACTACCTGCACTGATCCACAGACATGGGAGAAATCCCTTCCGCTGCTGGAATTCGCGTATAATAACGCGCCTTCCACCACAACCCATCAATCCCCATTTTTCTAAATTAAGGACATGACCCCGTGGTACCCTCTACACCAAATATCGAGACACCTGTGCCCCAGTCCCAGCGATTTGCTGACGACATCCTCGCAGCCCGAGAAAAATTAGCTAAGGCAATACGGTAAGCCAACCTGATCGCAAGCCTACAAGCCGATCGGCATCGACGTGACGTCACTTACAAAGTGGGAGATCTAGTACTACTCGACACTTGCAATTTGCGTTAGCCGATCCCGAAAAAACTCCGGCCCCGACTCGGTGGCCCCTTTCAAGTGACCAATATGGTGACAGCCATGACCACTCACCTCCGACTCCCAGCGGAGTGGCGTCACCTCCCGGCTTTCCACATCAGCCTACTACGACCCTACGTTCCCAGTTCGTCGGATTTGGCACGTCAACGCATCGTACCGCATCTGACGCCCCTACAGGAACCGACGACCGAGCCTTAAAAATATTCTCGGCCATCGAGTCATAACGCAGCAGAACCGACGCATGGTAGATTTTCTCGTCCGATGGCGCGATCGGACGTCTGAGGATGACAGCTGGGTGCCCCTCGCTGATCTAGAATCACACCCGATTCTAACAGCTTATTATCAATGTCGGAATGTTTCCGATGCCTTTCCGATGCCCTTAGCCTCGTTTAGGAGGGGGAGGTAGTGTAATGGATTTCCATTCCTTAGTGAGTCATACGATAGCGCGCACACCCGAACTTCTCGACTCGTCACGTTCGACCTCATTTGTCGGCCCAACCTCTTCCCGAGTCGCATCTGACACTGTCGCCACATTGCTGAACCTACCCACGTTCCGAGGTTATCGCCCTAGCACGCCAACCCCTATATATCCTTGTGCTTTGATTGCATTAGCGACCTTGTATTCTCACGTTATAGTTCATTGACACTTCCTATATCATAACACTGTAACTGAAACTCGAGTCTCGTTTCGAATGTACTTCCTGCTGGTCCAGGTTTAGACGAGCCAATGAAACACGCCCCTTTCGCCCACTAGCTAAATATCTCTAGCACAGGTTATTAGAGGAGCTTATCCGTTGGTTAGTACGGTAGCGAGGTCAGGCTTACCGCGTAGACTTTATCTTGACGGCGGCATGTAGCTGTCAGGAAATTTGACAGCATTGCAGCAGCACACTGTTGACTGGTGCCATGCTGCCCGTGGGAACAAACGAACGAATGAAAGGGCAGACGTAGGAGCTTCCCATTGCCCGATCACGCCGACCTGGCCGTGGTGTGGCCTGTCACACGCTTGGGCTGCACGGGCAGCGTTTGATGTTGGGCAGGAAAAACTTATCGCCGCCAGCACCACACGCCACGGCACAGATAAAACCTCTGGCCGTGCCCCAAAAGGTACGGTTTCGACCAATACCCTGCAGTGCCCCATTCTAGAGATTGCTGTTTGAACGCTCTGAAACGCAAAGCACCGTACTGTAGCGCAATCAGCCGTACTCCTCGGACATGCCCAAGAGAAGAACCTCTACATAGTCAGTTCAGGGATCATCTGGCCTTAGTCGAGCTCCTTTGGGAATATACTTCTCTAACCCAGTGTTTCGTGTTTAAGTTCTACCACTTCGTGCTAGTTATTATTCCCATTCTTGTAGGCTCGCTTAGGGGGCTGGCGTACTCTCACCGTGCACATTTCGTGCGTCTTGTGATATGTTTTTTTGAATTGCAGAAACCTATTACGGCGTACTCTCATCGTGCACATTGCGCGCCTCTTATCCCGCATTCTGCTCCGCCGTTGTTTTCACTCAGGCCGCCATAACTCGTTCACAGTAACGAACGAGGTGACCTCGGTTTTCCGTCTTCCATCGTCATCGCATCGCATCGCATCGCATCGTGTGACGCTGCTGTGTCGCCACAGGTGTAGGAGCAGGAGGTTTGGAATCAGAAAAGGCGAAAGCGAGATAACGGTAGCAGCAACGATGACACCAGTGACGGCTGGAGCAGCAGCAGACTTAGCAGAAGGAGCAGCAGGAGCAGCAGCAGGAGCAGCAGCAGCAGCAGCAGCAGCAGCAAATGGACCGGCAGATGGCATTCGTCAGTCCTCGTCAGCGTCATGTGTCATCGCAGACCGCACCATCGAGCTGAACCCTCTCGACTGGGCGTATCGCGGGGAAGGTTCCGCGAACATCGTCATGTCGTACTGCGGCCACGTGCCTGCTCTGGTGAGCCCTCCAACTCCTGCAAATATTATCCGCAATCCTAAATATTCTGCGGCCCAGATATTCGGTTATTTATTTTTCTCAAATCTAATCTGCTCTCGCGAGCCCTCATATCCTCAGGTCTGCTCTGCTGACATGACCAAAACGGCCAGATTCTCACTGCCCTTACTCTAACACTCAGCACTGCCACTTCTCCTTCTTACTTACCCCTTCCCCCCCCTTCCCTCCCCCTTCCCTCCCCCTTACCCCCTCCCCCCCAACCCCCCCCCCCTTCTTCCATCCCCCTTCCCTCCCCCCCCAGCACCCTTCTACCGAAAAATGCATGGCGCTGCGCGTGTGCAAGGAGCGACCAGATTTTCGCCACCCTTGTCACGTACTCTCGCCCCGCGAACCTCCTCTATTTCCCTCCCTTCCCCCTTCCTCGCCTCCCCCCCATTCTCCCTCCCCCAACCCCCATCCACCCAGAGAGGCATGGTGCTGCGCGTGTGCAAGCAGCGCCCATACCCTTGTCACTCGCCATGCCCATACCCGCACTCACCACCCTTGTCACTAACACTCGCCCCTGCCATTGCTCCTCTTCTCCCCCGCCCCATCCCCCCTTCCCCCTCCTTTTTTCCCTCCCCCCTTCCCCCCCTTCCCCCCCTTCCCCCTCCCGCTCTCCCACCCCTTCCCGCCCCCCCCAACCCCCTTATATCCAGAAATGCATGGTGCTGCGCGTGTGCAAGCAGCGCCCATACCCGCTCGCATCACCCTTGTTGTCAGTCACTAACACTCGCGCCTGCCATTGCTCCTCTTCTTCCCCGTCCCACCTCCCCCCCCCCCCTTTCCCCCTCCTCCCCTCCTCTTCCCCCTCCCCCTCCCCCACCCCCGCCCGACCCCCCCAACCCCGTTATATTCAGAAAGGCATGGTGCTGCGCGTGTGCAAGGAGCGGCCAGACTCACACCACCCAGGAGCTGAAGTTGTGGCTGGGGAATCCCTAACCGGAGGTTCGGCAGGAGCCTCGGAAGCAGGCTCGGCAGGATTCCCGGAAGCAGGTTCGGTGCAGCCCGAGCCTGTGCTGCGTCCGGAGGAGCGGGAGCTGTGGGGAGAAGTGGTGCCAGAACTGGCAAAGGCGCCGGATCGCATCGACCTGCTGCACCAATACGTGTCTCGAGTCATGGCTCCCTTGATTGGCGAGGAGTTCGTGGAAGCAGGGGTGAGTGCTTGGGCATTGCTAGTCAGATGGGAGAGTGCTTGAGCAGAGAGGGAGAGAGGGAGCTGTGGGGGGGAGTGGTCCCGGAGCTGGCTCTGGCACGGGATCGGATCGACCTGCTGCACCAATACGTGTCCCGAGTCATGGCTCCCTTGATAGGCGAGGAGTTCGTGGAAGCAGGGGTGAGTGCTGTGCTGCATGCTTTTGCTGTCTAGGAGTAAAGTGGAGGGGTCAGGCTGACGTGCTGCACCATTACGTGTCCCGGGTCATGGCTCCCTTGATGGGTGAGGAGTTCGTCGAGGCAGGGGTGAGTGCTGTGCTGTGTTGTTGCCCCCCCCCCCCCCCCCCCCGCCCCCACGTGCGACCGCAGATCGCAGTGAGTTTCCTTCAAGAGGTGGCGGACCACATCCGCCCCAGCCGCCCTCCCTGGCGGCAGGCCCAAGGGGACGTGGACCTGAGCATTGGGGAGGCGCTGCTGGTGACGGACCTGACCCCTCCTCTTGACCCTCTCCCCTTCCCCCCCCCCCTTCCCCCTTCTTTCTCCTCCCCCTTGAACCCTCTAGATCGCAGTGAACGTTCCCCGGAGTTTCCTTCAAGAGGTGGCGGACCACATCCGCCCCAGCCGCCCTCCCTGGCGGCAGGCCCAAGGGGACGTTGATTTGAGCATTGGGGAGGCGCTGCTGGTGACGGACCTGACCCACTTGCACCTGGAGGACGAGGAGTGGGAGGAGGAGGAGAAGGGGGAAGGGAAAGAGGAAGGGGGGGAGGAAGGGCGGTCACAAGAGCAGAGGGAGCAGGAGGTTAGGCGAGAGGAGGACCATGGCAGCTGTTGCGGGTATAATGGCACAACGTTCTGCATTGAGCTCAAGGTGAGACTTCTGAAGGGAGTGCATGGGGGGAGAGGTGGGGAGATAGTGGCACAAGCAGAGGTGGGGAGGGCCATGGCAGCTGTTGCGGGTATAATGGCACGACCTTCTGCGTAGAACTCAAGGTGAGACTGTATGATGCGAGTTGAAAGGATTTCGTGGGGGTTTTCACGACCCGCCCTCCCTCCCTGCAGGCTGCAGCCTAAGACCGGCTTTTGCCCCTCCTGTCCCTCTGTCGCGCCGGCCAATCAGATTAAGACAGCTGTCCCTCGCTTCTCACGGTGAGACTGTATGATGAGAATTGAAAGGATTTCGTGGGGGATTTCGTTAGCCGCCCTCCCTCCCTGCAGGCTGCAGCCCAAGGCCGGCTTCTGCCCCTCCTCCCACTGCATCTCTCCAGCCAATCGCATCAAGACATCTGTCCCGCGCTTCCGCATGCACCAGCAGCTGAAGCTAGCCGGAGGGGAAGTGGCAGCACGTACAACCCCTTGGACCTCTTCTCCTCATCGCCTCCCTGCATCCTCTCCGCTCTGAGGTCCTTGCTCGAGCACCCGCAGAATATCCTCCTGGACCCACCTCCCCTGCTTTTCTCTTCCCCCCCCAAACCCCCCTCCCTCTCTCCCCCCTTCCCGCCAGCCCAAGACTGGCTTTTGCCCCTCCTCACCCTTTATCGCACCGGCCAATCACGTGAAGACATCTGTCCCGCGCTTCCTCATGCACCAGCAGCTGAAGCTAGCCGAAGGCGAAGTAGCGGAATCGAGCACGTACAACCCCCTCGACCTCTTCTCCTCCTCGCCCCCCCGCGTGCTCACCGCTCTAAGGTCCTTGCTCGAGCACCCGCAGAATAACCTCAGGATTTTTGCGGATGGGCGGTTGCTGCTGGGGGGTCATATACACAGGCACGGGGACGGGGGGAAGGGGAAGAAGAAGGGGGAGAAGGGGGAGAAGGGGGAGAAGGGGGAGAATGGGGAGAAGGGGGAGAAGGGGAAGAAGGGGGAGGAGGGGGAGAAGGGGGAGAAGGGGAAGAAGGGGGAGGAGGGGGAGAAGGGGGAGAAGGTTGGAAACGGGAAGGTGGGAGTGGGTTTAGCGGCTTTGAGAATGAAGGAGAAAGCATTGGAGGCAGCGGGTTTGGCTGCTGTGGAAGCAGCTTTGGAAGGGTTCGTGTGCGTGGGAGAGGAGCCTAGCAATGCTGCTGCTGCTGCTGCCGGATCAACTGATGCTGCTGGCTCGTCCTCTCCTCACCACTCCTCCGCCGCCCCTCACCTCGTGCACCCGCGGGTGGATGCCCTCCTGGCCCTTGCCACGGAGTGCCTGGTGCAGTCAGGAGCTATGGAAAAGCTGTTAGCTGCGCAGAAGCTGGACACGTGGGACATTGAAGGGACCATCCATGCCTACAACCAGTTCACCAAGGAAACTGGAGAGGCGACTGCTGCGGCTGCTGCTGCTGCTGCTGCTGCTGCTGCTGCTGGTGATGATCGTGGCAGTCTGAGTGAGATAACGAAGGATTGCAGGAAGGTTCTTCGCGATTTCCTGATAGCAGCAACGGCGAAGGACTGTGGAATCATGCTGGCGCTCAGAGCAGCCATCCCTGGGGAGACCCTGGAAGCTTCGCAGAAACTTCGCAGCATCGTCTGCCCATCCAGTGGCTGCAAGTACTTCTACAGGGTAAGCTGTTTTGAGGCGCCTCAAAACTGTTACTTTCCCCCTTTTTTTTCACTTTCATTTAGTTTCTGTGCTGGGTTGTTTTTGTCCTTGAAGATACAGTGTGGCATTAGTCTGCTCTGTTCCTTTTTGCCCTTGGTTCCTTCACTCAACCTTCTTTCCTTCTCCCCTCTCTCTCGCATTGCAGCTCTCCATAATGGATCTGGACGTCAAGCTGCTGCGCAAAATGCCCAACCACTGGAGCATGGATCAGCTATGTGTTCCCCCTTGTTCCTCTCCCCCCCCAACCCCTTCGCCCCTCCCCCTCCCCCTCCCCTTTCTCCCTCCCCCCCCTCCCCCCCCCCCCCCCCCCCCCCCCCCCCCCCCCCCCCCCCCCCCCCCCCACTCCCCTCTCCTGGCAGCTCTCCGTAATGGATCTGGACATCAAGCCGCTGTGCAAGATGCCCAAGTACTGGACCATCAGATATCTCTTTGTTTACTGCTGTTCCTCCTTCAAACCCCCCCCCCCCCCTTCCCTCTCTCCTCTCCCCGCAGCTTTCCATAATGGACCTGGACATCAAGCCTCTGCGCAAGATGCCCAAGTATTGGAGCATGGATCAGCAGATCGTCAGGAACTACAGCTCAGCTACTGCTTCTGGGAATTCACATGAAGGGACGGCAAATGGTGTCCTTTGATGCTCAAAGCCTAAATACTGGACCATGGATCAGCAGATTGTCAGGCACTATTGCTCATAGTGTGATTCGAGGCAGGACAAAGCCGAAGTACCGTACCACCGATTTGCAGAAGAAACATGCATTGCCGTTTTGTTACAGTTTATAGATTTTTTCACAATGAAAAGCTTTGCTTATATGTAGAGGACTGAATGTTGGGTTTAAGGCTGCTCCAAGTTTTCATGCTTCTTATGGATCGAGGTGTTGTAGCTTCTAAGTTGTGGTTATGAATCTGTTTTTCGCATGTTGAGGAAGGCAGCTGTAGAATTTGATGTGAACCCGGTAAGCGTCATACCCCTTAGGGTTGCTTGCTGCGCGAACCGGGTGAAGTGCCTAGCATGTGACAAGAATAGCGGGTGAAGCGCTTGTTTGCTGCCTGGCACGTTCTGGCATCGGCGACATCGCGTCGCACGCCAAATCGGGGAACGACGGGAATTCCTAGGGCGGGCAGCAAGGGGGAAAGTTCGAGAAAGGGGACCAAGTCGCTCGGCGTATGTTACTCTGGCACTCCCAAGGCCGGTCGTCCTCCAACGAATTGTCCTAGTTACTAGTCGCGTGTCTTCGTATAGTTTGGGCGAAGAGTTTGCGAAACGCAACCTAGATAATACCCAACTTTCTTGGCCATGTATATTTTCACCTCTTCCACCAGCGATAGGTAATTAGGCACACTAATACCACCACCTCGTAGAACAGAACCCGCGGGTTGTGCGCTGCACTAATTACTATTGCAGTCTTCAGCATGCGAGCTACTAATTGAGCTACGTCACGTCATTGCCGTTTTCTTGATTAGCCTTCTCGTGTACAGATACTAATCCGCGCATCCGTTGCTACTTTCACGGTGATCAGGGTCACACTGGCGGATATGAGAGAGTTAGGCAGCGAACTAAGAGGAGGTATTCAATAGTCGCCTCCCGAACGTCTCTAAGAGTACTAATTGCCGACAATGACAATCACTAGCCGTGTGTCCGTTTATGCTGACTAATACTGACCGAGGGACACTGACGAGTTGTTGTTCGTAACTCAGCATCTCGCCGTTGCGTCTGACTCTGCGGCATCTCACTATCAGCAGCAACGGAAAGCAGGGTATGACACGAGGCTTCCTAAGCTGGAATGGCCCTACGTATCGTCGCGTCTAGTCAGCTACTGACTGTCGTTCGTGACTCGGTATCTCGTTGCGTCTGATTCAGCATCTCACTATCAGCAGCAACGGAAAGCAGGGTGTGACACGAGTGCCTAGGCTGGAATGGCCTCACGCATCAACAATGATGCTGCTAATAACGAAACGCTCCATACCAGCAACGATCATGAGCAGTATCACTACTGACTCCTAACGCTAGCGACTGTAGTGTAACATAACCAATTCACCTCGTTAAGAGGAGCTAGACTGCTGGCCTTAAGCAACCACGTCCTAAGGCGACTACGAAAGCAGCCATGTCGAAGAATAGACCGCCCGCACCGCTAATCTCGTCCTTAAAGCCCGGATTACCCCCGCCGCATCCAACGGCCCCGGGAGGCCGACTGCAGCGCGCTCACAGCGATGCTGCGAAGAAGGTTCAGTTCGCGACAGGTGGCATGACGCCATTGGAGGAACAGCTACACGACGCCGGATCTGCCCATGCCACGTCGGCAGGAGACAGTCAAAGTGAGTTCGTTCTCCCTCTTCAGAGAGGAAGATTTTTGTACCTCCATGCTCCTAGGGTTCTAATCACTTACTAGGAGGCGACACTGTAGTGTGTTAGTCAGTGCTCTTACTCCCCGCCTTCCCCCTCCCGCCCCTCTTTGCCCTGTTCCTGTTCATATCAATTAGCTCCTACGTTGCCCAGCATGAGGAGTCTATTTTTTAGGCGCCTCAAAAAAAAGAGTCTATTTTTGAGGCGCCTAAAAAAAGAGAGTCTATTTTTGAGGCGCCTCAAAAATAGACTCCATACCCTGTTCCTGTTCATATCAATTAAGCCCTACGTCGCCCAGCATTGCTCTTCCTCTCCGCTACCACTCTACCTCTCTCTCATCACCCCGCGTTACTTCTCATCCCTCTTCGTGGCTTGGCATGGCATGGCATGCAACGGAATTGACTTGTTCATTGGCATGGCATGGCATGGCATGGCATGGCATGGCATGGCAGGGGACAAGGGGTCGTCAGGAGGTCTGAGGCGCACACAGACTCTTGACTCACACTCTCTGTATCCCGACCTAGACAAGATCATGGGTACGTCTATCTATAGCGAATCTCTCTCGTTCTTCCACTCTCTCCCCCCCCCCCCCACCTCCCATACTTGCCTTTTCCCCCTTTTCCCCCGCGCCCCCCGCATTCTCCATCCCCTGCTATCCTATCCGCCAACCAGACTGGTGATGCGAAGCATCCGTGTGTGAGCAGTTTCGTTTTGAGTCGACTCAGAACGAAATCGCCCCCGCATTCTCCACCTTCTGCCAGTGCTCCCGTTTCCCCCACCCCTGCAATCCGCCAGACCAGACTGGTGATGCGAATGCCAGCAGCGGATGATGTGTGGCCGAACTATGAGGCCCCTTTGCCCTCTCCTCTCCCCCCCCCTTCTTCCCCCGCCCTCCCCGGCTTTCCTCTCTCCCCCCCCCACCCATCCCCCCCTTCCCAGACCAGACTGGTGATGCGAATGCCAGCAGCGGATGATGTGTGGCCAGAACTATGAGGCTCCTCTTATCCTCTGCCCAACCCTCTCCCCACCTCTCCCTCCCCCCCCCTCTCTCCGGAAGTATTCTTAGCCTCAGATGAAAATTAGCAGGGGGTTGATTTCAGGAAGTTTAGTACCACGAGAATGGAGGTGCGGATTAAAGAGGTGGAGGACGCATGGGCAAGTTGCATCACCCCTCTTATCTCCCCCTCCTTCCTCCCCACCCCGTCTCCCCCCACCCCCGACCCCCCACCCCCCACCCCTCTCCTTCTTCCCTCCTCGCCCCACTTCCGCCCCCACCCCCCCCCCCCCTCCTCCCCTCCCCCTTCCCCCCGGGCCTTGTTTCCTATAGGCGCAGAGGAGGGTGAGCAGAATATGGATTTCTGGAAGGTTCGAACGACGAGTCTGGAGGTGCGGATCAAAGAGGCGGAGGACGCTCGGGCGAGCACTGACACCCCTCTTACTCTCTCTTCCCAATATTCGCTTTAGGTTCTGAGGAGAATGAGCAAGGCGTGGACTTCTGGAAGGTTCGAACGACGAGTCTGGAGGTGCGGATCAAAGAGGCGGAGGACGCGCGGGCGAGCATCACCTCCCGTGCCGTGGCTCTGGCAGCGCGCAACCACGAGCTGACGACCAGACTGAGGCAGATGGAAGAGGAGGTGAGGGCGGGAGGGAGGGGGGCTAGTGGGGATGAGGAGGGAGAGGGTGCACGCTGTGCTGTGGCTCTGGCAGCGCGCAACCACGAGCTGACGACCAGACTGAGGCAGATAGAGGAGGAGGTGAGGGGAGTTGGGGGAGGTATGTGTGTGCTGGGAAGGGGTGGGGGGTTGGTTGGGGGATGGCGAGCATCACCTCCCGTGCCGTGGCTCTGGCAACTCGCAACCACGAGCTGACGACCAGACTGAGGCAGATGGAAGAGGAGGTGAGCACGGGAGGGAAAGGAAGGCGGGTAGGGTAGGGGGGTGAAGAAGTTGGGAAGTTGCGAGCATCACTGCACGGCCTGTGGCCCTGGCCACTTGCAACCACGAGCTGGCAAGCAGGCTGCGGCAGACGGAGGAAGAGGTGAGGATGGGGGCAAAGGAAGGGGGCATGGGAAGGGGGGAGACACGCGGGCGAGCATCATTGCTCGGGCTGCGGCCCTGGCAACACGCAACCACGAGCTGACGAGCAGACTGAGACAGATGGAGGAAGAGGTGAGGATGGGAGGAAGGGAAGGGGGCAAGGGAGGGGGGAGGGAGAGCCTGAGAGGAGGGGGGGGGCCTACGGGAGAGCATCAGTGCCCGTGTTGTGGCCCTGGCCCGCAACCACGAGCTGACGACTCGATTGCGGCAGATGGAAGAGGAGGTCAGGATAGCGGAGAGTGGGTGATGGGGGCGGGAGGGTAGCTACCAGCATTACTGCCTGTGCTGTGGCCTTGGCCTCCCGAAACCACGAGATGACGAGCAGATTACGGCAGATGGAGGAAGAGGTGAGGGGAGGAATGGGGCCTGGTGGGGGGAATTGAAGCAGAGAACGCACGGGCAAACATCAGTGCTCGCGCTGTGGCACCATCAACCTCGAGATAGACTCCTCCTCCTCGCGCTGGGGCGCTGGCCCCTTTCAACCACGAGCTGACGCCATCGCCCGTTCCCCCGTCTCCCTATATGCAGCGCCTCAAAAGGAGCCTATTTTTTAAGGGGCCTCACGCTGTGGCGCTGGCGCTGATGCTGTGGCGCCTTCAACCACGAGCTGGCGACACAAATAGACTCCTGGTTGATGACTCCTCAAGAGGAGTCTATTTCTTAGGTGCCTCACCCCACGCGCTGTGGTGCCATCAACCTCGAAATAGACTCCTCCTCGCGCTGTGGCGCTGGCCCCTTTCAACCACGAGCTGACGCCATCACCCATCCCCATCTCCCCGAGATGACTTTTCGAGATGACCTTTCAACCACGAGTGGACTCAAAAGTCCACGAGCTGACGCCATCACCCATCCCCATCTCCCCGTCGCCCTATATGCCCCCTCCTCCCAACCACCCTCCCGAGTCCCCACTGCACAGGGCGGCACATCAGCATTTGCAGCTCTAGAGAAGCAGCCTACAGACGTGAAACGCCGACTTGACAGGGCTCGCAACCCTCTGCCCTCTGTGCTTTTCCCTCCCCACAGGGCGACACAGCAGCGTTCGCAACATTGGAGTAGGTGCTGACAGACATCAAGCTGAGACTGGACCGGGCCCTCAACCAATGCGGCATGTCTGACATGCATCGCCCCCCTCTTTTCTTCCTACCACCCCCGTCACTCACAGGGCGACACAGCAGCCTTCGCAGCGCTGGAGCAGCAGCTGACAGATGTCAAGCTCCGGCTGGACCGGGCTCTCAACGAGTGCTGCTGCATGTGACTCACATCATATCCCCCCCCCCCCCCCCCCCCCCTCCTGCCTCCAACCCCCGCCCCCCCCCCCCCCGCCTCTCCCCCCCCCCACCCCGCCCCCCCTCACAGGGTGACACAGCAGCATTTGCTGCCCTAGAGCAGCAATTGACAGACGTCAAGCTCCGGCTAGACCGGGCCCTCAACGAGTGCTCCTCTCTCGCCGGGAACACCATCGCCAGCAGCAGCAGCAGAGCAGCATTTGGCGCCATGGGGCTGGATTCTTCTGGCAATATCAACGGTGGAGATCTAACCACCCTGGGGTTGGGGTCTGCTAGGCGGATGGGCGGTGCTAGCTATTTACCCGATGCTGCAGGGGCTGCTGGGGGGGGTGGGGGAGGAGGGATTGGGGGAAAGGGAGGCGGAAAAGGAGGGGTGATGGGGGCAGGAGGGGTGGTGGGGGGGGCGGGTGAAGGGTTGAATCTTCAGGTGGCCTTGGAGAGGTCGCCTTTTATGATTGCTCACCTGGATACGACCCTGAGATACACCTGGGTGTTCAACCACAACCTGCTGATGAATCAGGTGAGAACAACAGAGGCCAGGTGGGGTCAGCAGAGATTAGGTGGGGACAACAGAGGCCAGGTGGATTCGACAGAGTCCAGGTGAGATTAGCAGAGGTCAATACAGGGCGCAGAAGCCAAATGCGTTTTTGTTCTTCTGCTCAAATGGCGAATCCAATCCAATTCTAGTGAGCAAACCACGAGCCCGAGTCCATGGTCTCTCCCGGCTCGTTAGATGCGGTTTGAAACCGCAAGCCCTTTGAAACCGCGAGCCCTTTGAAACCGCGAGCCCTTCCTTTGAAACCGCAAGCCCTTCCTTTGAAACCGCGAGCCCTTTGAAACCGCGAGCCCCTTGAAACTGCGAGCCCTTTGAAACCGCGAGCCCTTTGAAACCGCGAGCCCCTTTGAAACCGCGAGCCCTTTGAAACCGCGAACCCTTTGAAACCGTGAGCCCTTTGAAACCGCGAGCCCTTTGAAACCGCGAGCCCTTTGAAACCGCGAGCCCTTGGAAACCGCGAGCCCTTTGAAACCACGAGCCCTTTGAAAACGTGAGCCCTGTTAAATTCCGAGCACATGGTCTCTCCCGGCTCTTTTAACTCCTCTCTATCTGCTCGCGCATCTCCCTTTCCCTCTAGTCCAACTCCCTTTCTTCCTCATCCCTCCCCCTCTCCTCTCTCCCTCTTCTCTCCCCCTCCCCCTTCCCTTCCCCTTCCCTCACTGCTTATCCTTTTTGAGACACCTCAAGCGGTGACTTTTGAGTTTACTCAAACGTCACTTCCCTCACTGCTTATCGTTTAATCCCGTTTGAGGCACCTCAGGAGTGTGCTTATCATAAGCAGGACTTGATAGGCAAGAGGGACTACGACACACCCACCCACCCACCCACCCACCCACCTCAAACGCAAACAGGACATGATAGGCAAGAGGGACTACGACATCCTGCCACCTGGCACGCTGGGATTGGAGGAGGCGATGGAGATCAAGCAGCGAGCGCTCGCCACCGGCAAGCCGCAGCGCGGCGAGGTGGTGTGGCAGCTTCCGGGAAAGTCCCCCATGGTTTGGGTGACGACTGCTCGACCGCTCAAGGATGAGAAAGGGAGGACCGTGGGGGTGACTACATCCAGTGTTGATATCACAGAGGAGGTGAGAGGGGGTGAGGGGAGGTGAGGGGAGGTGAGAGGAGGGTATGTTCGGTAAGATAGACATATTCGTTGTGTGGGTGACTACTGCTCGACTGCTTAAGGATGAGAAAGGGCGGACTTTTGGGGTGAGCGGAGGTGAGGGGTTGGGGTTGGGGTGTTGTTGACAACTGCTCGGCCACTGAAGGATGAGAAGGGGAGGACCGTGGGAGTGACCACATTTAGCGTTGATATCAGAGAGGAGGAGGTTTGGTAGAGGGAGGGAGGGGGGGTATGGTATTGTAAGAGAGGCAGAGATATCCATGGTTTGGGTTACGGCTGCTCGGCCGCTCAAGGATGTGAAGGGGCGGACCGACCGTGGGGTTGACTACATCGAGTGTTGATATCACAGAGGAAGTGAGCGAGGGGTTGGGGTTGGGGTGTGGTTGACGGCTGCTCGGCCGCTCAAGGACAAGAAGGGGCAGACCGTGGGGGTGACCACATCGAGTGTTGATATCACAGGGGAGGTGCGGAGAGTGGGGGGGAGAGGGAGGGTATGCTTTGTAAGGGAGGCAGAGATCTCAGTGGTGGGGGTGACGATTGCTCAGCTGCGCAAGGAACAGAAAGGGCGGACTGTGGGGGTGACTTTATCAATCCGTTTATACCACAGAGGAGGTATGAAGGTGGGAGGAAGGGACAGTATGCTAATGTGAGAGAGACAGAGATACTTGTGGTGTGAGTTACGACGGAGATCCGCACCCCCCTCATCGCACCGCCACCCGTCCCTCCCTTTCCTTCTGATGCTCTGCATACCCACCTTATTCTGCTTCCCTGGTGCACTGTTTTCCACTTTCTCCCTCTTCCCCTGCTTCCCTTTAGGCCCAGTACAAGGAGCGACTGATGGCGTTAAGAGCCATGATGATGGTGCGCAACACCACAGAGAAGGGGCTGTGGCGAGCATACGAGCTCACGGAAGACGAGATGCGCGCCAAGTCCATGTTCCTGGCCATCACGGGCCACGAGATCCGCACCCCCTTCAACGGCATCCCTCCCCCCCCTCCCCTTTCCTCCCCTCCCTTCTGACGCTCTACATCCCCACTTACCCGTTCTTCCTTGGTGCCGCGTTTCCCGCACGTCCCTCTTCCCCTGCTCCACTATCAGGCCCATTACAAGGAGTGACTGATGGTGCTGAGAGCGGAATACCATAGAAAAAGAACTGCGGCTTGTCTGCTTCACTTCATCCCTCCCATCAGGCCCAGAACAAGGAGCGACTGATGGTGCTGAGAGCGGAAATGATGGTGCTGAGAGCGGAAATGATGGTGCTGAGAGTGGAAATGATGGTGCTGAGAGCGGAAATGATGGTGCTGAGAGCGGAAATGATGGTGCTGAGAGCGGAAATGATGGTGCTGAGAGCGGAAATGATGGTGCGGTGCGGAACACCACAGAAAAAGAACTGCGGCTTGTCTGCTTCATCCCTCCCATCAGGCCCATTACAAGGAGCGACTGATGGCGCTATGAGCCGAGATGATGGTGCGCAACACCACGGAAAAAGAGTTGAGGCGAGCATATGAGCTCACGGAAGACGCGATGCGCGCCAAGTCCATGTTCCTCGCTATCAGGAGCCACGAGAGCCGCACCCCCCTCAATGGCATCCCTCCCCTCCTTTCCCTTTCCCTCCCTTCTCGTCTGCTGCCCTGCATCTTGTTTTTTTTAGGCGCCTCAAAAATAGACTCCTCACGATCACGAATGGCATCCCTCCCCTCCTTTCCCTTTCCCTCCCTTCTCGTCTGCTGCTCTGCATCCACACGTCCCTCTCTTTACCTGCTCCCCTTCAGGCCCAGTACAAAGAGCGCCTCATGGCCCTACGAGCCGAGATGATGGTGCGGAATACAACAGAAAAAGAGTTAAGGCGGGCATACGAGCTCACAGAGGACGCGATGCGCGCCAAGTCCATGTTCCTCGCCATCATGAGTCATGAGATCCGCACCCCCCTCAATGGCATCTTGGGTTTAGCCGAGGTTTTGCTGGAGTCTGGAGCCCTGGAGGAGGAGCACAGGGAGATTGTCGAAACGATGATGTCATCAGGCGTGATCATATCGGATATTTTGGCTGATATCTTGGATCTCGCGAGTATGGAGGCCGGGGAAATGAAGTTAGAGGAGCATCCATTCGAGCCGGTGGCGGTGATTAATCATATTTTGAAAATGGCTATGGCGGCTACTAAGGAAAAAGGGATTAAAGTGCTAGCGGATATTTCCCCGGAGATCCCTGTGCAGATTCTAGGGGACGAGCTGCGCGTGCGGCAGGTGATTAAGTACTTAGTCTTAAACGCTATTAAGTTCACCCATCAGGGGCATATTCTGCTCCGGGTTTCGGCACATGACAGGGACCCCTCTGCCGCTATAGTGAAAGCCACTGGGGCGTATGCTGTAGGCGGGTGGAACGTCCCTGGAGGGGGGGGAGCCGGAGGGGGAGGACCGGGGGGATCTGGAGCTGCTAACTTGGGCCGGGGGAAGGGGCTCGCACTTGAGATGCACAGTCACAAGGGCGGGAGAGCGGGGAGAGGGGGGAGCGGGCGGTTACCACTTCTATCTGATGTTACGGAGCAACATTTAAAGAAGCTGGCGAGCTTGGGGAGCCTAGAGCAAGCAGCACCTCTGTTGGCTGAGCTACCGACTGAGGAGTATGGGGAGGAGGAAGAGGAGGAGGAGGAGGATGAGGATGGGGATAGCGAGAGGACGAGGGGGGAGGACGAGGGAGGGCTGATGAGACCCGGGGGAGGGGGAGGGGGAGGGGGAGGAGGATTTTGGGGGTCGATTGTCCCTTCAGGAGTGGCCAGTGGGAAAGGGAAGGGGAAAGCCGCAGCAGCAGCAGAGAGGGAGATCGGGGGGGATCAAGACGTGTGGCTGTGGTGCGAGGTGCACGACACTGGCGTGGGGATCCCAAAAGACGCCTTTCCCCTCCTCTTTGAGAAATTCACGCAAGTGGAAGGAGGCCCCACGCGGGCATATGGTGGCACAGGTCTCGGCCTGGCCATCTGCAAGCAGTTAGTCGAATTAATGCACGGAAAAATGGCGATTAAGTCGAAAGTTGGGACCGGGTCGGTGTTTGCCTTTTCGGTTTGCTGCCAGCGCACCACCCCTCGCTCTCGTCCTGCCTCCCCCACAGGTGCTTCTGCTATCGCTGCTGCAGTGAACGCCCCCTTCGGGTTCCCCAACAGTAATTCTATATCCGGCCCCTCACCTGGCTCGGTGTCACGGGCTTTATCCCCTGTTCGGGAGCATATGGCGCTGGTGGGGGGAGGGGGGGAGGAGGGAGAGGAGGATTACACAGAGGAAGAGGAGGAGGGGGAGGATGAGGAGGAGGATTACGAGAGTGAGAATACGGAAGACTCGCCGATCGCCATCACGCCCAAGCACTTGAGGAAACCAAGAGGAGCGGCAGCAGGCATAGGAGCAGGAGGTGGAGCAGGAGGAGCAGGAGGAGCAGGAGGAGCAGGAGGAGCAGCAGGAGCAGGAGCAGGGGTGGTGGGCGGGGGTTTGGCGGGGTTGCTGGCCCGAGCCAAGGCAATGAAAGGGGAGGCAGGAGGATCAGGGGAGCGGCCATCTGGGGGAGGCATGAGTGGGGGAGGGGTGATCGCAGCTTCCGGGTCGGTGCCCTCTCTGTCCCCTGCCTCGGCCAAAGGACCAGAGGCCAAGATCCTAGTGGCTGAAGACAACCCGGTGAGTTGCTTGGGATACTTGGGATTGTGAAAACTGGGTGTAGGGCAATCGGGCTTGGGGCAGGAACAGCAGCAGCAGGAGTAGCAGCAGCAGCAACAGCAGCAGCAGCAGCAGGAGTGGTAGCAGCAGGAGCGCCTGGGGCTGCGAGCAACAGTGGCGAAGAACGGGTTGGAGGCAGTCAGATGGGGTGACTTCCCGTTGTTCTTGCTGCTCTCTTATCCCCCCGCTTCCCGCCTGTCACGCCACCCCTTGCTTCCCTTCTCTTTCAACGCCAGGTGAATGTGATGGTGCTGCGGTCCGTGCTCAAGCGCCTGGGGCTCAGAGCAGCTGGGTTGAAATTGCGTCTGCCGGTGCTTCCCCTGTATAACCCCCCACCCTTCCCCCCCCCCTTTCCGTCCAAATACCAGGTGAATGTGATGGAGCTGCTCTCCATGCTCAAGCGCCTGGGGCTGTGAGCAACAGTGGCAAAGAATGGGGTGGAAGCGCTCAGATGGGCTGACTTCCCGCTGCTGTTGCTCCTCTCTTGTCACCCCCGGCAACCCCCTGCCCCACTTCCCATTGCCAGGTGAATGTGATGGTGCTGCTCTCAATGCTCAAGCGCCTGGGGCTGCGAGCAACGGTGGCAAAGAACGGGGTGGAGGCGGTAGAGGCAGTGAGGAGGGAGCGGTTTGACCTGCTGCTGTCGGACCTCTGCATGCCTCTCATGGACGGGCTGCAGGTGCGTTGACTTTGGTTGACTTTAATTGACTTGCGTTGAATAGGCTTGACACAAGTTAAGGGGTATTAGAAGTAGAGGCAGTGAGGAGGGAGCGGTTTGACCTGCTGCTGTTGGACCTCTGCATGCCATTTATGGATGGGCTGCAGGTGCGTTGACTTTCGTTGACTTTGGTTGATTTCTGCTGACTTGTCAGACTTCCTTCTGTAAAATAGGTTCGGCTCAGATTTGTGGTTGTCAGAGGTAGAGCCAGTGAGGCGGGAGCGGTTTGCCCTGCTGCTGTCAGACCTATGCTTATGGATGGGCTGCAGGTGCGTTGACTTTGGTTGAGTTGCGTTGACTTGCGCTGGATAGGGTTGGCACAAGTTAAGGGGTTTTAGAAGTAGAGGCCATGAGGTGGGAGCGGTTTGGCCCGCTGCTGTCAGACCTGAGCATGCTGCTTATGGATGGGCTGCAATTGCGTTGACTTTGCTTGACTTTGGTTGACTTCGGTTGTCTTCTGCTGAATTCTGTGGATTAGGGTTGACTGAGATTGAGGCTTGTCAGAGGTAGAGGCAGTGAGGATGGAAGGAAGGAGCGGTATGATCTGCTGCTGTCAGACCTCCGTATGCCACATATGGATGACTCTGGTTGACCCTTGTTAATTCGAGTCGACTCCCTTTGACCCTTGTTAATTCGAGTTGACTCACTTCGAGATTTGATTCCCAATCGGTCCTTCGTATTGGGAGGGTTAACTCCCTGCTGCGTCCTCTGATTTCCTTGCTTTCCCTTGTCTATGTGTCTCTCTTGAATCCCTAAACCGCAGGCTGCCTACCTTATCCGACAATACGAGAGGACGGGGGTATACCCAGAGGAGGAGGTGGAGAGGGCCAAGCACAGGGGAGCGCCCGCAGGGGACGAGAAAAATGGCCTCGCCTGGCAACCCCCCTCTGACCTCCCTCCTGCCTCCTCCCTCCTCTCGCGTCAAGGGGCCCTCCCCCGCCTGCCCATTATAGCCGTTACCGCCAACGCTCTTAGGGAGGATGAGGAGCGGTGCTATGCGGTGGGGATGGATGGGTTCCTGGGGAAACCGGTGCAGTTTTCGAAGCTTAAAGAGGCTATAAGTGAGTTTATTGACATCCCTGGGTCACGCCCGTTGGGAGCTGCTACTATTGCTGGTGGTGGTGGTGGTGGTGTAGGGCGAGGGGGATTTGGACCATCTATCTCCCAATTGGGGGCACCAGGAGGGTTAGTATCCATGGGAAGTGGGGTGGCAGCGCTCCTAGCAGGCATCCCCCCACAAACGGCCCCTTTTCCGGCCCCTTCGAAGCTCTCGAGCGACATTCAGCGTCTTGTAGTGCCCACCCGCGCCAGCAGCTACAGCGGTTCTGGGTCTATCACTGGGAGCATGACAGAGACAGGGGACGAGGAGGATTACGAGGAGGGGGAGGGGGAGTTTGGGGAGGAGGATTACGACGGGGAGTATGACTATGAGTCAACGGTCTACTCCCCTAGGTCAGCAAGGCATGCGAGGACGCCTGGAGCGGCTAGCACTGCACGCACGCCAGGAGGAGCGAGTATGGCTAGGACCCCTGGAACGACTAGGAGCTTTCGGACGTCCATGTTTTATGATAGGGATGACAGGAGCGTGTATGGGGGCGGGACTAGCGTGTATGGGGGCGGGACTAGCGTGTATGGGGGGGCAGAGAGTGTGTATGGCGGCGCGGCTAGCAGCGTGGGCGGATACAGCCGAGCCACAGGTGCTACAGGTGTTACTGGGGTAACGGGTGTTACGGGTGTTACGGGTGTTACAGGGGCGACGAGAGGTGGAGGAGGGAGGGCCATGTCGAGACAGGAAGCAGCAGCAAGAGAGTCAGCCATGCGCGAAGCTTACAACAGGTACTTTCTCAATGCGGGTCTGCCCCCTAGCACGGCTGCTGCTGCAGCGGCTGCAGCAGTAGCAGCAGCGTCAACTGCTGCGGCCCGTGCCAGTGCCACCGGTGCTGGTGGCTCCCGTGCTGGCAGTGGTGCCTTCCCCAGGAATCGATCTATCGCCGAGTCGTCCTACGTGTCTGGAAGGTCCTCTGGGGACGAGCTCTCGATCTATTCGAAGACCACCGGAGGGGGGGGAGGGAGGGGAGGTATGGGCACAGTAACAGGCACCAGCAGCACCACAGGGAGTGAGAGTGGGAGTGGTACTGGTACGGGGTCGGATGCGAGCTACGAGACGGGGAGAGGAACCGCTGAGTTGAATGCTGAGGCTCAGCGAGTGGTGACGCTGCGAGGGGGGACTGCCCTGGGCGCAGGGGGAATGGGAGGAGTGGGCGGCATGGGGGGGATGGTAGGAGGGATGGGGGGAGGGATGGGGGGAGGGATGGGGGGAGGGATGGGGGGAGGGATGGGGGGAGGGATGGGGGGAGGGATGGGGGGAGGGATGGGGGGAGGGATGGGGGGGATGGGCGGGTTACGGGGGATGGGAGGGGTGGGAGGGGCGGGATTAGGATCAGGAGGGGCAGGATTAGCAGGAGGGGCAGGGTTGGCAGGAGGGGCAGCAGGGGGGTTGTCAGGGGCAACAGCTGCCAATATAGCAGCACTGCGGTATCTCACAGCCCGTGCAGGTGCTACTGGTGGAGGTGTTACTGGAGCAGGAGGTCTGGCAGGGGCTGGAAACCCTGCAGGAGCAGCAGGGACGGGTTATATCAATAACAATTACCCGTACCAGTACAGGGGCATGGGGGCAGGAATGGGGGGGCCGGGGTCTATAGGGGGGGAAGCTCGTTGTCCTCTTTCTCTAACCCCCACCGTAACTTGGCTGCAGCGGGGAGGCTTCTAGGAGGGAATGTTGCCTATAATGGAGCCGCTTATAATGCAGCACTGGCTGGTGGGGGGGGTGTTGGGGTACTGGGAGGGGGATTGGGAGGGGCAGGAGGCCTGGGAGGAGGTTTGGCAGGAGGTATGGGAGGAGGCTTGGGAGGAGGTTTGGGAGGAGGCTTGGGAGGAGGAATGGGAGGAACAGGAGGAATGGGAGGGGGGATGGGAGGATTGGGAGGATTGGGGGGTTTGGGGCGCAGCAGCAGCGGCAGGCGGGCTAGGTAGAATGGGTGGGATGTCTGGCACGGCAGCAGCATCCAACCTCCAACAGCAGCAACAGCAGCTGCTGAACAGCAATGGAGGAGGATTAGGAGGAGGAATGGGAGGAGGAATGGGAGGAGCAGGTTTGGGAGGAGGAGGAGGAATGGGAGGAGGAATGGGAGGAGCAGCCGGGTTCGGAGTGGGCAGCACGAGCAGCAGCAGTATGCAGCCAGGAGCAAGGCCAGGAGCCACACTTCCCCCCACCGCTGCCGCAGCTGCCGCTGCTGCTGTGGCTGCGGGGAGGAGAAGACCTATAGCTAGCGCAACAGTTGCAGGAAATGGGGGGGCGTTTCTGAGGCAAAATGTGGGGACGGGTGGTACTGCTGCTGCTGCTGCTGCCGCCGCTGCTGCTAACGGTGGTGGTTTTGGTGCTGGGGCATCTACTGGTGCTGGTGGTGCTGGCTTGGGAGCTGCTGTTGGTGGTGGTGGTGCAAATGGTTACGGGACAGGAGGATTGGGAGGAGGTGGGTTTGGCAGTCAGATGGCAGGTGGGGTAGCAGGAGGACCATCAGGTGGAATTTCAGGTGGAGTTTCAGGTGGAAATATGATCCCTCCCCCCCCTGCTGGCGCAACTCAAGCGCAGCAGCTGCAGTACTTAATCCAGCAGCAGCAGATGCTGCTGGCGCAGACACAGGCGCAAATACAAGCACGGCAGCAGCAGCAGCAGAACCTGCAGCAGCAGCAGCAGTTGCAGCAACAGCGGCAGCAGCTGCAGCAACAGCAGCAGCAGGTGCTGGCAGCAGGTGGGATGGGAAGGAGTCTAGGGGGTGGTATGGCTGGTGCTGGTGGCGCTGGTGGTGGTGGTGGGCTAAGTGCTGGCGGTGTGGGAGCGATGGGGTTTAGTGCTGGTGCACCAAGTGCTGCTGGTTTGGCTGCAGCAAGGGTAGGAGGAGGAGGAGGAGGAGGGGGGGGGCAAGAAAGAAATGGGTTCCATGGAATAGGAGGGGTAGGGGACAGAGGAAGAGGAGGCGGGGGAGCAGCAGCAGGAGGAGGAGGAGGAGGATCAGGAGCAGGGGGCCGGGGCACTGTAGCAGCCATAGTTGCCCCTCAGCGCCGCCCGGAGTTCCTTGCCGGTGCGGTTACCAGCGAGAGCAGGTTCGGCGGGGAGAGCTACAGCGAGAGCGAGAGCACGGACGCCCGGAGCCGCGGCAGGTTCGGCATAGGTCTGGGAACTGGTGGAGGCTCGGGAATCGGGCAGAGTATGCCGGGGGGGAGCTCCAGGGAAGGGGGTGGGGAATCTATCACCTCATCCATGCTCAAGGGGAGTGTGGGGGCTGGGTTGGGAGGGTTGAACTTGAGGGATGGGGGGTTTGTGAGTCGATATGGGCAGAGCCCGTATCCCAGAGCGGGCACGAGCACAGGTGGGGGGGGAAGGTGGAGCGAGAGCCACACTTCTCGGACCACATCCGCTGTAGGAAGGGATCTGGACCGAAGGGGAGGGGGAGGAGGGGGGGGGGGAGGAGGAGGAGGAGGAGGGATGGGGGGGAAAGGGTACCAGGGAGGCTACCAGGGAGGCTACCAAGGAGCATCGCCACCTAGGCTGGTTGCAGGGCAAGCGGTTTCGGCAGCAGCAGCTGCCGCGGCAGCAGCAGCTGCCGCAGCGGCAGCGTCGCAGCGAGCGCTGGCAGCAACGTCCGCTGGAGCTGCTGCTGTGGTGGGCCGTGCTGAGGCGGCTCGGGAGGCTCGGGAGGAGGAGCGGGCAGAGCGGCGCCGAGCCAAGGCCGCAGCTTTGCAGCAGCAGGGGCAGGGGTGGGAGTGGGAAGAGAGGGTGGAGGAATGAACGGTGCGGATGGGGGAATGGTGTATCAGAGGGAACGAGAGTCGTTGATTGCATCCAAGATGGAGCTCCAGGAGAGGGCTGTGCAGCGACGGTCGAGATTGCAGGCTCCACAACGGACGGCTGAGATTGGCCAAGGTGCTGGCGGTGGTGGTGCTCGAAACATGGGCTATTGGAACTGAGAACCATCTACAGTGGGTTTTTGTCCCAGTTCCACTTCACCGTGTATTGGGGTACAGTATGCCAAGCCAATGTTGCCATATGTACAGTATTCATACATTGTTATATTTTATCTGCCAAATTTGTTTGGATGTGTGGTACGTATCTACATTTTCTAGTGTAAAGTTACTTGCCCACTTCCTATAATCAAGTGTAATGTGGCAGGATCTCCCAAGTTTTTAGCTCGTTCGACAAGACCATGCACAAAACACTTCAATCAAGCAATCAACCAGCCTTTTCTAGAAATTCGAAAAATGCTTTCCAAGTTTCAATCTAGCTATCCCCATCTTCAGCGTCCATTTCCTCGCCATCATCCTCATCCCCATCCTCACCACCATCATCATCACCATCATCACCATCATCATCACCATCATCATCATCACCACCGCTACCACCATCCCTATCATCACCACCGCTACCACCATCCCTATCATCACCACCGCTATACTCTGCCCCTCCTTGCTCATGCAAGTTCCCCTCCCCCTCCTCCTCTTCCCCGTCTCCCTCCTCTCCCTCCCCCTCATCCTCCTCTCCCACTCCCTCTTCTTCCTCCTCCCCCTCCCCCTCTTGGTCCCCACCCTCCTCTCCCTCATACTGATCACCCCCCCCTTCTTCAGCCTCCCCCAATCCAGCCTCACCTGTTTGTTCCTCCTCCTCTTCCTCCACCTCCTCTTCCTCCTCCTCTTCCTCCACCTCTTCCTCCTCCTCCACCCCCTTTTGTGGACCCCCCTCCACTTCTTCCTCCTCATCAACATCCTCCTCCTCCTCCTCTGCCTCTTCTTCTTCCTCTACTCCAATCCCATCTCCCTCATCCCCTTCTCCCCTACCCGCTCTCCCCTCTCCTCCTTCCCCCCTTTCCTCCCCCTCACCCGCATTCCCCTCCTCTCCCCCCTCATTCTCCTCCCCCTCATCTCCACCCTCATCTTCCTCCTCCTCCACTTCCTCTGCCTCCTCTTCAGCTTCAGTATCGTCAATCATAGGGGTTGCACCCTCCACTCCCAACTCCTCCTCCTCCTCCTCCTCCACCTCCTCCTCCTCCTCTTCCCCTTCCTGCTCCTCACCCCCCCCTCCCTCATCCTCCTCATCTTCCCCCACCTCCTCTTCCCCTTCATCCCCACCTCCCTCCTCCCCCTCCTGCTCCTCCTCCCCTCCCTCCTCCTCCTCTTCCTCTTCCTCCTCCTCAACCTCCTCTTCCTCCTCTCCTCCTTCCTCTTCTCCCTTCCCCTCTTCCCCTCCTCCATTCCCCTTTTCGACATCTATAGCCATGTCAACCCTACCCCCATTCTCCTCATCCTCCGCCTCCCCATCTCCATCCCCCTTCCCACCAGCCCCCCCGCCCCCAGCCCCACCCAGACCTCCCTGCCCCGGTGCCTGTGTTTGGGACTTGGCTAGAGAAACGTCAAATCTTTGACCCCCAGGCGACTGCAAGGCGTGCAGCCGAACCTCCTGAGACACAGAGAGAGTTGTGGAGTTAGGAGGAAAATGCAAATGTAGGACAAGACAGAGTGGGATAAGCATGCATGAGTCACAGAGTAAGGCACAGCAGAAGAAGATACTCTTTGCAAGAGTTGCATCAACTCTTGACCCCAGGGCGACTGCAAGGCATACAGTCGGATTTTCTTGAGGACATGGAGAGAGGATTGGGATTGGGAGGAATTTTTGAAATTCTAAAAAATCTCTCGTTCGGAGGACGACTTGAGGTTGGGAGAATATGCTGAATGTTTGCATCCGTCATCAAGCGTTCACAGGAAAGAGGTGGAGGAGTCGCGCACGAAGCATGCTCGATTGGAAGCCACGGCAAAGTTTGAGGAGCAGCAGGCGCAGGCCCTTGAGAGGACGCTGCTGCTCCGTCCTGCTGTGGCTTCCAATTGAACGAATCGTGGCTTCCAGGAAAGAGCAGCAGCGTCCTCTCAAGGGTCGGCACCTGCTGCTTGGCAAACTTTGCATTTTCTTCCAGTTGAGCACGCTCCGTGCGTGATTACTCCACCTCTTCCCTTGAGAAGGCACTGCTGCTCCTCCTCTTCCTCTTCCTCTTCCTCGTCGAATGACGGATGCAAACATTCAGCATATTCACACACTACCTCACAATAACCCGATAAGGCGTGAATATACAATATGCTTACAGTTACGGGAATGTACTTTGGCTTGCGACGAATGGCACGGCAGTCTGTCGGTGGTGTGATCAACGGCCATGGTGGAAGAAGGCTGGAATGAATGGCTGGGAAGAGCACTTGAAATCGACAAGGGCAGAGAGGTGCTTTCTGGAGAGGTGCTTACCGAAATGAACTTCGACTTGCATTGAGGTACACTTTTAGAGAGGTGCTTACTTACCGGAATGTACCTTGGCTTGCGACGAATGGCAAGGCAGTCTGAATCTGGAAGATAGTTGGATGGAATAGAGTAGTGGGATGACACAAAGTGGGATGACACAAAGTGGGATGACACAAAGTGGGATGACACAAAGTGGGATGATACAAAGTGGGATGACACAAAGTGGGATGACACAAAGTTGGATGACACAAAGTGGGATGACACAAAGTTGGATGACACAAAGTGGGATGACACAAAGTGGGATGATACAAAGTGGGATGACACAAAGTGGGATGACACAAAGGGAGATGCCACAAAGGGTGATGCCACATATGAGAACCAGCATCCGTCTAGTGGGGTGGAGCCCACGGCGCTCCACTGCTTCCGCCGCCAGCATGCGCTCCCGCTGAAGGTTACCTCCCACCAGTAGTGGTGTTACCAAAAGGGCTCTCGCCTGTTAGTTTGGGTTTGGGAGGCTGCAACGTCCATCAGTGGACGAGCAGCCGCCTCGTGGGCGCCCCACAGCTCCCGCTGAGTAATGCCACCTTAGCACTTGGTGCTAGCTGCGACATCTCAAACGGCGTTGGCACTCACCAGACGGTCTCGAAGGTTGCGGCGTCCATCTGAGCACCAGCAGCCGTCTCGTAGGCCCCATCGCCGTCCACTGTTTCCGCCACCGCCGCACGCTCCTGCTGAACGCGGCCGATGAAGGCCGAGGGCGGTACTACCGCATTGATACGAGCGATTCGTGACACTGACACTCACCAGACGGTCTGGGAGGCTGTGGCGTCCATCTGAGGACGAGCAGTCGTCTTGTGGGCCCCACAGCCGTCCACTGCTTCCGCCACCGCCGCACGCTCCCGCTGAACGCGACCGCCGCGCCGTGCCGCGCGGAGGAACGGTTGCGCGTGCCCGCTGCCTCCATGATCTACTCAGCGGATTGTAACGGGGAAACTTGTCACGAGAAATACTAGCAGAGCAATAAAGGTGACCTGCTCTATTGGTCGCCGTGCCGCGCGGAGGAGCGGTTGCGCGTGCCCGCTGCCTCCATGATCTACTCAGCTGGCTTAAACGGGTTCTGCCGCCGCGTAATGGCGCTGCGATCAACGGGTCCTACCGCCGAGAAGTCTTCTCAGCCGGCTCAAACGCCGCGACGCGCGGAGGGCGAATTCCGCCTGCTTGCTGTCGCCATGGACTTTATATTACTATGTCGATGAGATCAATCCAGACGAGACCGTTAGAGGGTTTTTGAGTCGACTAAAAATCGCCTGCTTGCTGCCGCCATGGATTTTATGTTTATTATGCTTATGAGATCAGTCTCGACGAAACCTATGCCAGGGCAGAGGCCGGGCCGGAGTCCGTTAGAGTGACTCCTCTTTTGAGTCGACTCAAAAGCAGATTCCGTTAGAGTGACTCTTCGGTCGACTCCACGTCACCATGATAATCTCTCTGAGGACGTTCTCCGACCATCCTCGAGTCTCGGGACGTTCTAAAATTAGCGATTATGCTTCTACTCTAGGCGGCCGCGATTGTGGTCAGTTCTACTACAATTCGACAGACGCGTTGCGAGAGCCAGAGTCTCAAGCTATCACTCTCAAGCGACTAGCTCAAGCAATAAGGGCTTCCTAGTCCGTGAATGATTTGGTCAGTCACCAATGGTCAATTCCCCGAAACCCGCGAACCCTAATTCGTTTCCCCTTCCCGTCTACTACAGTACTCTTTATTCTCCCTGTTGGGCAAGGCTCCCTTTATTCAACGCGGGTTCGTGACGGAACGAACCTGACTTCGACGGAGCGGCTGGGGTTGTGTTCCGGGTCTAACTACCTACTAGGGTAAAATTCAGAAGGAAATACACCTTTCTCCTATCCAGTCTTAGCTTTTTTGTACGCGACTTCGAGCCTGTAAGCAGGAAAGGATAAAGCACGGGCAAACGGGACATATAAGGGTAAAACCCGCAGTAAACACTGACACTTGGTTACAATGTCTCGCTCATGCTTTAGATAAGTTGCCTGCGCGACCTCCCAGCTCTGAAACTCGAAATTGTCGAAATTTGAATTGTTTGTTCGATTTCGTTCAGACTGCAGCCAATCAGGTTGAGTGTCAACGCGAGTCATCCTGAGAACCTGGTAGGTGGTATTGAAATTTAAACTGTTTTGGATGAGACAATAAATAAAGAAAGGTGTAGCTTCAATTTCAGGAGAAGTTTATACTGAAATACTTTAACCCTAGGTTGGGCTGATAAGTGTGCTTCTCAGGAAACACTACCGTAGCTTCATTAAATTCACGAAGGCTATAGCCCGCATTGTTACGTCGTCGAATTTGACGAAGAGATCGTGGAGACGCCTTTCTGGCTGCTCCGTTCGTCAATACGGTTTCCCTGTGTCGAGGGGTGTCGCGAAAAAACGGTCGGGTTCGGCTCGGCAACTTCGGGCTTGCGTAGGTTCGAACTAAGTTCGCCTGAGGTTCGAGGTCAATCACTGGTGCCGACAATTTGGTGACTGAAAACAACACTCAGGTCAAGCAGTTACCTGCGCACCACAACACAGCAAAATGGCTTGGCAGCAGAGAAAAAGAACCTCAATCAGATTCCCTCTCCAGTTTTACGTGTATGTTCGAAGGGTCTCAGCTCGGTTCAGTGGGATTCACGGCTCTCTTTACGGTGACTAGGGGAAGGTTGGCATTGCAGTCTGCCGTTGACACCTAAACCCTCGACGCCCACCTCACAGGCGGATACCGGCCCGCGCCTGGTGTATTTCGAGTCGACTCAAAATACGGTGGAGATCTAAGGTCTCGTTCGCGCACCTCGCGGGCG